CCTGCAACGTGACGGTATTGAACTGACGCTGGCAAACCTGCTCTCAACGACAACTCAAAAAAATATGGTTCGTATTTATGTATTATGATTTCGCACATATATGCAGATAGATATATAAAAATAATACAATAATAAAAATTCATGTTTTTCATTCAGTGTATGCACAATGTAAGAACTATCCTTATTGTGCAGCTGGCACATTAGAGGTCTACATAGCGAAATTTATTCAGGTACGTGCGCGTGAATACATACATACATATGGTTATTATTATATATCTGTTATTATTATATATATCTTTTTATTTGTTGTTTCTACAGGATTGTAATTACAACGGTAATATCAAATGCTACAATTTTCTTCGTATTCGTCGATTCGGAGGATGCAGTGGCAGTTTGAAATCAAAATAAGATGATACTTGCGAGCTTTGCATGCAGACTTCTAATAAACGATAACTAAATGAATATAATAAATGAATAACAATACAGGAATATTTTATTTTAGAGACTATACTGCGTATAAATGTTTGTCTATCTCAATAAAATTATTTTATTTGAAGAAAAGAGAGAAAGAGCGTAAGAATTTTATTTGAAATACATTCAGAAACGTATTGATACATTGTTGATGATACTTATTAACTGTGACCAAATGGTTTGTTGTTTCCGTTTGAAACGCCAGTATTACTGTAAATTTTGAATATATTGCTATATTTTCAACAGAATTGTCACATTTTGTTGCATTTCAAATTTAAAATCAAATTTTTGCCCACTGTGTGAAATTAATAATTTATCTATCAATTCCATCCTCTCTTTTAGCATTCTCCTCTGCTCGTCTAAAATTTCATACGTATATTATTTATTAAAAATACATATGTATATTATTTATTAAAAAATTTATAAACAAACGAAGGCTCTCTCTGAAAGTCTGTAATTATATAAAAACGATAGTTGCGTATAATTTTTTTCTTTCACTTATGAATATATCTTAGCACGAGCGAAATATTAGTTTTTTTATTGTTAGTAATTTTCTAGAGAAAATAATTTGTAAAAATCATTCAATTTTCCCGCTGTTACTCGAGTATCCTCCCTGAAGTAAACCTAGAATGCTAGAAGTGGTACCACAACTCTAAGATTTTTGAAAACAAATTTCCGCAGAGGTTCTCATGTTTATACTTGACTTTATTTGGTTTAAAAAAAAAGTTAATATAAACAAACAGATGAAGGTAACTACTAATAATATCATTATCAAAATATATTCTACAATTTAAATGATAATTGAATTAAGTAGATAACTATGTTTCTGTCCGAACAGAGGTTAATATTACTTTTGACCAGAGTATCCATATCTTTTAAGCACTTGGTTTAATTACTAGGAACAAAAGTTTGAAATCAATTACTATATTTATGAAAGTTTGGGCGTTATAAAATAGTAAAATTATACAATTATTTATAAAACTGCTATAATGATAGTTTACTGTCGTTTGGAATATCCCGCTGGAAAATAATTTGGTGTGACGAAATAATTTCCGTAAGATGGAGACACTATAGATAGGCACACTTTTTTTACCTAATAAGGTTTTCAATATTGATTGTTCATAATTATTTCCCATTTCTTACCTGTGTGTGAAGGTGAAAAATTTATTAAATTTACAATTTTCCATATTTTTAATTCAGATTAAATACAAATACAAAAATAACCAAAATATAAATTTTTAATTTCAGTGTTAAAGTGGAAAATACTCAAAAGAAAAAGAAAAAATGAATACGAACGTACGATGACACGTAAGCATAAAATGATATTAACATCCATTTGTGATAAATTTCTCAAATCAAATCAACTCGCAATTTAGAAACACGGAAAAGAGATAATAATAACAATATGTATATATATATATATATATATATATATATATATATATATATATACATAAAAGAAATTTATATGAAAGAAACAATTTTGAATCTTAAATGATGTAAAGAAATGTGAGGAACGATAAAACTGATAACGCAAAAATAGATATCCGTACAAGTTCAACTAAATTAAAATTAAATAACGTTGAAGGAAGTGACGAAAAACAACGAAATCTGAATCAAAAGGCCAAGATCCGGGAAGTCTGCTAAAGGAGAAAGAATTTAAAGAAAAAAATTTAGTAGGGATGAAGAAAAGGAGGACAAAATATAAAATTAATATCTCAGAAACTACCGGAAACTAAAGTTTTATATTTAGTGTCTCATTTGCCACTTTTTCTTTTGAAATTTCATTTAGATTAGAAACTGATGCTTGTTGGAATTACAAACCATTAGCTTTAATTTTTTTAACATTGATGCAAAAAATCTATAATTCTTTCTGTAACTAAATGCGTTTCTATGCATAATTGACTGGTAATTAGTTGATGATAAAGCATTTCAAATAATTTATACTCGATCCAAAGTGAATCTGTTATACTTTTTAATTATCGTTGTATGTGTGATAATTCATAATTGTATTTATATGTATCGATAAAAATAAAATTGAACGTGTTTATCATTTCAAGGGATATTTCAATTATATATTTCAATCGTATAATGTTAATTATAATGTGATATTGATTATATATTTTTTACAATTTCAGAGGCAACTTATATACAATATACTTTTCATTTAGTAACTTGATAGATTATTTATAGAACGATTCTAAATAATTTATAGAACGTATTAGATATTTTATGTATCAAATTAATTTTGGTACATAAATTAACTTGTATGATGTCGTAATGATTACTTTTCTTTAAAAAATTCTTTAAAAAATAGAATACTGTGAAGTAAAATATTAGTAGGCAATAAAATGTTTGATACTGGGGGACAACATTGTACAAGTTGATAATGTGATGAAAAAATGAATAAAATCAAGATAACGTAGTATCACTGCAAATCTCTCATATTTGATTCATCTAGAAGCAGGATTCCCTTTTGTATCAGCGATGTGAAAGAAATAAAAGATACAAAATAAATGGAAGAAAACTTCACCTTTATTAGGTCGGCATCATTGTGCATTGAATAAAATGAATAAAAAAATAGATCTTGTAATTTTAATACTTTGTTGATCTTTTTATTTACAATATGATCGCACATACCAATCTAACCTGCTTGATTATTACAAAGATTTTTTACCTATATGTATCGCATACATCCGTTTAAACTTTTTCGTATCATAAAATTTGATCGAGTGAGGATTTCGAATAATGTAAAATAATTTAATTGTCTCAACGTGCCGCCATTGAAATAAAAACATATATGAGTATTTGTCTATTATCGAATACGAAAAATTATGAAACAAATTCGATTGTACGAAAATATAATTTATAAAAAAAAAACATTTCTGACGCTCCATCTATAATTTATGTTGTTGTGTTCAAAACTTAACAAATATGGAAATTATTATTACCGACTGAAACTGTGAATGAATAGAATAATATTAAAGAATATAGAGAAATATGTAATCGTGTTGTGACAGCGTGCATGCGTATCGCATACTTGACTTTTGGTTGGTAGTAAAAAGCCACCCACCCTATATGTGGAACAATGCGGAAATGTGTTCATATACATATGCAGTTAAGTTGAAGATGCGCATGAGTAGGTAAAATCAGACAAGAACTCGACGACGCAAAAGTACGTGAAACGAGTGAAGGAAAGGAAGAAAAAAGGAAAGAAGGAAGGGGTAGAGAACATTCTGATGAATCAAGCGCATCGAGGTGAAAGTGGTAGCTTAGCAGTCAACGATAGACAATTAGTAATCGCGGATAGGTGAGTTAACGGATTACGATAAAGCACAAAAGGATAACGTTGCAGTTGGTTGCAGGAGATCTGAGAGTTAATTCATTATGGAATTGCGTGAAGTGAATCGTACTTTTGATACTGCGGAAGAAACTACGGAACTTCTATCGCCATCCAACCGCGATAACATGGAAATTGAAAGTTATTTCATTGAATACGCTATTCAAAAAGAGATAATAAATCGCAATCGATGTCCTGCTAGTCGTCGTCTACTTAGTCAAACGGCTCATTTGGCAGATTTTAATCTTGCAAATGGTAATCATCAAAAGGTAGTGTATTTCGTTTCTGTCTTTTTTTTTTTTTTTTTTCTTCGTTTGCTACTCTGTGTACAAAATATGCAAATGTACAAAGTGTACAAAATTCGATTAACATCGAATACGGAAGATACGACAAATAAATTTTTCCATTTTCGACGTTTGATGAAAAATGATTGATACATTGTCGAATGATATTTAATCGGAGCATTCCTTGAATTTATTAAAAATATATGCGTAGTTTGCTCAATTTTTTTTTCAAATTATTTCATTTAACGCAAGAAAAAGAAAAGATAAAACAATCTGACAAAGTTAAAAATTTTCAACATCGTCTTTTGCGTACTTACATATATAGGATATCCTAAGAAATACAAAGAAAATTTTCAAGAAAAACATATTCAGCAGTGCGGTGCGTATATTCTGATTGTATCTTGCGCTTGACCAATAATTCAAAGTTGTGTGTTGATATGATACGACACGAAAGGAAAGAAAAGGAAATGATCAAAGAGAACGAAAGAATTATACGTAATATCTAAGATTCAAAAACTAATGGCTATTTTACGTTTTAGGATACTGTTGGCATCAGTATGATTCATACCTCGAACGCAAATTGGCCTCCTTCTAGAAAAAGGGAAGAGGCCAAAGCGTTAGAAAATCTTCGAAAAAGAGTGGAACAATCGAAATTGTACAAAGCAAATCGAATTTCAGATACCTGCGGATCGACTTCTGTATCTTCGGTTTTGAATAACGATCAAATCCATCAGTTGGACAATCGACCGAAGCTGTTAAAAAAGGTGAGACAAGATAGAATATTTCGACGATCTAGATCAAACGCTTAGGACACTAGCCAAGAACGAGACGAACGTGTAGTTAGTTTTGTCAAATTTTTACTGCCCCTGCTCTTTTTCTTTTTTTTTTTTTTTGTCGATACGACGTAGATCCTGAGTAACAGGCCGATGAGTATCGCACATGACAGTAACGATTTGGAGACCGACTGGCGAGATAGTGAATTTATAACTGAATGTTTATGCTGGCACAATGTTTATCGACAAAGACACAATGCACCGCCGTTAACGATGTCACCACAGGTAAGGATAAGTAATGTTCTTTCGATAGATTAAGAAGAAAAAGTTGTTTGCTATTATTACGAAAGAGAGATGAACAAGAACAAAGAACAAAGATATACGGAAAAGACACAGAACGGAAGAGAGGAAGTGATACTCGTAGTTACGCGTGTATACGTAAAACGTAAAATACTGTATAAACGTGTAAATAAACGTGTATTTATACATACGTGTATTATACACTGAATAAATCGATTGTTTCTTTTGCAGTTGTGTGAGTACGCGCAAACATGGGCTAATCATTTAGCGCATACTAATACGTTTTACTATAGAAACGATCGAGAGGTGGGACAAAATCTTTATTGTCGACCTGGTAGTGCTATTCCAACTGACGTAACTGGACAAGATGTTGCGTCGTATTGGTATTCAGCTGTGAAGCAATATGATTTTTTAAAAGAACCGGATATCCTCCATGCTAATGTAAACGCAGGTATTTTTTTAAAAGCAGTGAGATACGATGTTATAAATTATATAGACATGATCATCTTGATCAATTAATTGTTTGTTACGTCATATCATTTGTATCATATTTACAACAGGTCATTTTACGCAACTAATTTGGGCAAGTAGTCGTTATTTCGGGGTTGGAAAAGCACGCAGTAGAAGCGGAAAAATCATTGTAGTGGCTAACTATCAGCCTGTTGGTAATATATCCGGACAATTCCAAAATAACGTGTTACCTCCTTTACCCGAAAATGTAAATATTACGTTATCGTCTCAACGGCAACCATCTATAAAAGTCTTTCGTGAACATTATATTGCGTCTGATTCGCCACCGCTAGCAACGTCCACTCTACCGCTTTCGGATATAGCATCAACAGATAGTGATCGATCTTCCGTCAGTTCCACGCAATAATATAGACGACCGAATTGCCTCTTCTGCGTTTGCACGCGTGGATGGGATAAGCATTGATTAAATTCGACGATTTCTTTCATCATTTGTTTTGTCTTTGTTGTTTCGTCTAATTTCCGATTAAAAACTAAAAAGATGAAAACACATATACTGTATAACACGGTGATAAGTCAAATGAAAAAGAACTGATATGTACGAAATGCCTGCGATATATACGACAATTTATATTTGTGAATGCAAATTAACGGACAATTGTACTGAATTGTATTCATTTATATTTTGTTTGTCGTTGTCTGTCTTTTGCTGACGACGAAGAAAAGCAAGATGAAAACAACGAGAAGAAATAGAATAAATTTTCATTTTAAGATTAGCGTGCAAATCTCGTAGAACGGGCATATATATATACGGGCACTTTCGGGTAATTTTCGCACAATTGTATAATTCATATAGAAATTGATGGACTAAAAGAACTTGAGAGAAAAAGGGAAGCAAACGAAAACGATATGTTGTATGTTATACTCTTACGAGCAGTATACAAAGATTTCACATTCAGAGTTTAAGATTTTTTATACATTATGAATATCATAATGATCTATTTCTTGTCAGGTAAAGCATACTACTTACCATGATTATGTTGCCTATTTGTAATATATATATACTGAAGAAATAATATATTATTCGCTTGCAGCGATTCATCTGTGGCTTGTACAAGCAGCGATAAATAACAGACGAGATACCGAAAACTTTAGGTTGCAAGTTGGATAGAGTACAAATTACAGAATAGAATACAAGATATGTATTAAAATCGTGTAGTATCGTCTACACGCTCTTGCGTACTGCTCGTTAAATTTGTACGTTCGATTCAAGAGCTTTTTCTCTTCGCGACAATAGTATATGAATATATATGTTATTTATATACACATGTACAGTGTACCTCTCGTAACTATCACTACGATTTTTCAAACACGTCTGATGTTCCGACAAAGAAATACGTTGATCAACTTCACTTTTCAGTCGGCTACTCAAAATTTCTAAAAATGTTTTTTTCCAATACAAAGTGAAGGGCAGTTTAACTTTTTTAATTGACACATATTGTATATTACGTTATACTATATTATAATGTGAAACAAATTTAACAACCTACTGTATCATGACGTTGAAATGACTTTGAATGTAGAAACGTAGAATAAACGAAGGGAAGCATTATCGTAGACACGCTTCGCAAGTTACATTTAATATGATAATGTTTCCTTTGATGCACTCGACGTTTCTATGATTGTAAATATACGATGTACAAGTTTATTTCACTGTTTACTTCGTATATAGAGCGTTGAGTTCGTTTTTATACAAGGTTACAACGCTATGAAATCAGAGATACGTAGTATCGTTTAGAAAGGTCAAAATGATCTTGACTTTTTAGTGGAAAAAATTTTTTTTTGAAATTTCATGTATTACAAAATGAATTTTGATTTGATTACAAACTGATTAACTTTTGTTGAAACGTTCTTTTGTGAAAATGTCGTCAGAAGTACGTGAAAAATCGTGGCATACGTGGGAGATACACGTACATATATACAACGTGTTAAGATGTAAAAATGTTCTAAAAAAAAATTGCAATCACCTAATACTTGACGAGATGAAAGTGAGAAAAGCTTGGTCACTGCAATTTAATGCGTACAACAATTTCCTACTTCGATAATGCTTATTTATTTACAATGTAATTATTTACAACAACAACAACAACAACAAAAGTTATCATCGATATTAAAATATTCAACTTTATTTAACACGATTAACTTTCGAAGTACTCTTTTTTCCATACGATCAATTTCTATATTCTTTGATTATTTTTCTTTCTACAGTATACATAGTACGTATATACACGCGCTTGGAAAAAGGAGTAAATTTTATTTTGTAAATCAGGCCTAATCAGGTACAAATTGCGGACAGATCTGATATAAATTCTTTACAGTTATATTGTATTGTGCGTTGATGAAAGATTTATCGTACGCATCGATTCTCAGCGTTTACTATAAATTCATCGAATCTCTTTGAGTTAGCTTGAAAGTGAACGTTAGCGTCTAATATCGGATGATATTTTTTGTTGCAAAATTGTAGAAATATTTAAATTGCGGAAATAATTGTTCCTTCTAGAAAATTTTTATTTTTACTGATAGATTTTTCAAACGTTTGACTTCACGTTCATTTAAAATTTTTTAAAAGCGTAGAACAATAAAAAAAATTGACTTGACTATAAATAGCACAGTCAGATGATCTTACAGATTGTGGAAAAATATGTTTATGATAAATATGTCTCTTTAATTGATGTATATTGGTGGAGTTTTTATCCAACTATGAATATACACAATGGAAGGAGAAACATGCCTAATTGCGTGATTCAATATTTCAATATAAAAATGATATACATATACTATCATTTTATTAAAGATACACGAAAGAAAGAATAAGCTATTTTAGGCGTCTTGAAATTATTTTATCATGTTTGCAATGCAAATAAATACATGGTACATAGAACTTTGCAAACCGAAAAGAAAGGGAAATCAACGTTAAATCGTTAAAATTCTTTTCTCAACTTTTCAAATCTTACAACTAATTTGATATTTTTATTTTTTTCACTGATTGACGAAACGAAAGTAGTTGTCAAATAAAATAATAGTATTCAAATACATTAACAAGATTACAGTTTGCACTTAAAAGTTATATAGCGAATAACGTCATAAATTTGTCAAAAAATATTGTTTTTCTTTTCCAATTGCTTTTGTTTCATATTTTCAATCTCTTGTCAGTACAATAATAATAGTACATTATTTACTAGTAACGTGAGAAAGCAATATTGTGAATCGAAAATAGTTTCCTATGACCGAGCAGCTCAATGACTAGTATATTAACGAATACTAAAATAAAGAAAATATCAGTAGAACAGACATAGCTTCTTTCAATCGATGTACTTCCAATAATACTGCCAGTAGGTTTCAGATTTTGGTAAATAATAAATTGTTAAATTGTCGATCAAAGATTTTATGAAATGATTTTAATTTCGTTCGTGACTAAGGCGATTTCAAGTTAGAAGCAAACGTTAACTTGCTACATTTACATACATTTATCAACGTAGCTCCGAATTTCTCGTTTTAATAGCGAATAACATCGATATACATGGACATCAAACATTGTCAAAAAAAATTTTGATTAAGAGTTGTTGATTCAAAGCTTTGATTAACACAGGTAACAACGTGAGAATATCTCTCATAACGCTTACTGCGATAATAGTAATAGTATCAATAGAACTTTGATATTCTGCTATTCTTCGTATTTGTAAAATTTTAATACGAGGACGAATAATGATTTGTTGTGCGTTCGTGATTTGTTGTTTGCCCTTCTAATTATTCTTTATAAACATGACAATTGTTGTTAAAAATAACAAATGAATAAATGATCGCCTGGGTAAACGTAATTTAAATTGATCGCTTACTTAAACTTAAAAAAAGTGTGATAATATGTTAATTTATGCCTATGCGCGTGTATATGTGAAATTTTTTAATCTCTTGATTGCATTTGGACAGTTAAAAATGTACTGTGTGTTGATAGAAGAATGTGATAAAATCATAAAATTAATTAAGACTTTAGAGCAAATGAAATAAATTTTGAACTTCAAAACAGAAGACTTGAAATTTAAAATATTTCCATTTTAAATTGGTAAACATACAGCCTTCTTTATAAATACCTCAATGGATATCTATGCCTTAGTTTATCACTATTCACCATTTCTTTTCTGTCAACAGTGCTAAAGTTAATAACAACGAGCTTGATCTTATTTTACTTTTCGTTTGCAACGCAATACCCATGAAATTTTGAAAAAAGAAAAAATAAATATCGTTTAAGCAAAATAATACATAGTGCTTATACATACACACATACATATATATATATATATATATAATTTGCAAAAATTTAAACTAGTAATAAGTTAAAATCTACTTCTTACAATTAGTATAAATAAATTGATTGTACCCATTTATTGTTATTATGCTGAATAAATATACTTTTTACAGAAATACATCGTGCAATAACCCCTTGAAATACTTGTAACAATTTTGTTTCTTTTTTACGCAAATGATTCTTGTAATGCAATATCAGTTTTTATTACTTTTGTCAGTAATAAAATTTTCTGAAATCTCGAAAATCATTGACTACTAAATTAGGTTTCAATCAACGTGACACAAGTAAATATATAACAGGCATACGAAATTGAGCAATTATATTGATGAAGTTGTTTGAAACAAATCTGAAAATATATATACGTATATGTACAAAATTGCAAGATATTCACTATATTTACTACGTATGTATGTATTTTACAAAAATTACAAAAACATTTAAATAGTTGATTATCGTTATGTTGATAAATCTTAAAATTCAGTGACACTATTTTCGTCATTTCTTATATGATTAAAGTTGCCATTTATACTAATTTTTTGTTACACGTTTGCAACATGTGTACGCATATCACAATCGTATCTCATTATAATTGATAACATTTCAAAGTACCATTTTCTATAATATAAAATTTTTCTATTTAAATACCTGTGAAGTATTGTTATACAACACATTGACCTTAGTCAGTGTGTTGCATATATCTAGATCCTTGTGAGAATCTCAAGTCCAATACGCAATTCATTAAGTTCGTATACATGTACGTGCAAGAATATGAACGGTATTTAAAAGTTTCCAAAAGAAGATGTTAGAAACAAATTATATGCATATATACGAAATCGAGCATTTCCCTCGACTTCGTTTGTTTTTAAATAAATATTCAGATCTTTTTTTGTCTTCTTTTTTTTCTTTTCCTTTTTTTTTTTTTTTACAGTAAATACATCGTATATGCATGTGTATATGTATGCGCGTGAGTATATGAAAACTTACACAAATTCTACATAAATGTATGTGCAGTTTAAAAATTGCACAAGTGTAAGTCGTATATTGAAAAATCGGAGAAGGATAAGCACAGAAAGAAGAAGGAAGAAAAAATATCCAGCAGGGACAAAGAGGCGTAATACGTAAAATATATATTACAGGTATACGTATAAATATGTAAACGTATATAGTTAAAGTACTGCTGAGGGAAAGAAAGGATAGGTTCGAACAAAGTCGAACAGTTTCGAAAATGGCGACCAAGATTCGTGGTAGCTATACATGGTCAGCAGTAACGAAACCATTATTGGCAATATCACAAGGTTCATTTGATAAAAATGATATCTTGGAATTGGCGAAGAGCATTGTTATACGGTAAGACTTGAAACATTGTTTGTTTAAAGTGATTTAAATGCAAAAATTATTTCGATGGTAAACTCAGAAGTGTGTGCGATTATATGTGTGTGCGTGTATGAAAGAGAGAGAGAGAGAGAGAGAGAGAGAGAGAGAGAGAGAGAGAGAGAGAGAGAGAGAGAGAGAGAGAGAATCATATGTTGCAGTGACAAGAGATGATTTTTAATTTGAATCGTTTATTGCGCGTAATATAATTATATTTATTTTTATTATAATTTTTAGTGAATATGACTTCCTCTCTAAGGGAGAACTTTATGAAACCTTTTATACATCTGTGGCAGTGCTTGCTGCAGATTATTTCTGTAGTTGCATCAGTACGTGTAAGTTTTAAATTTTTGTCTTGTCATTGTAGGAAACAATGGATACGTTTTCCAACGAATCTTACTTAATTCTTTGTGATTTTCCAGTTTCTAAAAGTCAAATATCCATAGTTTGTCAAGCATGTAGAATATTGCTTCTTAGGCTCATGGATAAGTTGTCTCAGCATCAAGAACAGTTAGGAAATGGAACTTCTACTGTTTTAAGTACGAAACAGCTGTTACTTCCGATACTTGCCCTTTGTACTGGACAATCTTTACTTTCATCCACCGAAGAAGCAGCCTTGATTGCTATGATAAAAAGTTCCAACATACCGCATGACATTAAATCGCAGCTATCCCCCGAAGCTGAGAAAGATACCTCTCAATCGTGTAAAGATTCTGAACGAATACAGTGTGATTTATCTGGTAGCATTTTAGAACAACTAACTATGCCGTTGCAAGGTTCTACGATGCCGATGCCCGTTGTTGAAAATTCCAACGAGGCTAAAACAATGAATGACAGTGTTGTCAGTGAAATTCACTCAGACATAAAGGTTTTTCTTACAAAAATTTACATTGTTTACATAGTGTATACAGTGAGTTGTGAAAATGTGTATATTCCTCTTGTAACTAAAGTAACTAAATGCGTTACATTTTTATTAAGGTGACTACCAGTGAAAATATATATTACGTTAACTCTAGTTTCAACCCGTATAAATTTTGTTGACAAATGATAATTTAAGTAAATTCTTGCGACTCACTGTATATCCGCGTCTATAATTTCGTTAAAATAGTTGATACGTTTATTCTAAAAATTTAATTTTTATTTTGCAGACAACATTTGTTACAAATAATATAAATATTCTGCGAAATATGGATGTGGGAGACACGCTGTTAGATATGTGTTTGAATCTTCCTCACTTGTCGTGTTATACTCGCAAATATCAGTCATATTTGCACAAAAAAAGTTTCACTTTGCCTGTGAATGCCTCCGACGCACATGCTATACGTCATAATTTACATTCTGTGTCAAACGACATTAATATGGTTCACAACGTAATATCATTGCCTTTTTTAGAACCTCTAACTCCAGGCAAGCTAGAAAAATTATCGCTACTGACAATGTCTTGTTTGTATTGCTCCATCGTGTACGCCACTGCATCGAGTATCGTTGGTATAACAAATGCTGTGTCACCGAAATGCAGCACGAATACCTCTGCTGGCACGCAAACCGCTTCGGGTATTAAAACTGCGGAAGAAGAATATGACACTTTGGCGATTACCGTTGTTGAGAAAAGCCTTGAAATATTCGGTCTAGTTTCAAACGTAATTAAAAACAGCACACGAGCCGGAGGTCATGTAAGGAGTTAATATAAAAATTGATTTAATGTAAAAATTGATTTGTACGTGCAACAATGCAAAACACGATTATTTGTGACAGATTCTTCAAAATCATTTATTGATCGGAGTATGGTTGTTAGTGGCTGGTTTACAAGCTCAACTCACCGTGAGTGGTTTAAGTGCAGCGGATAAGGGGAAAGAAGAAAAGGGCAAATCGCCTAGTAAAGCGCGTGATGGAACAATTCGCGTCAACCTTACGAAAATGTAAGTTGTTAAACTTATAATTTTTATAATAATTAATATTGATGATTCGTTAAAGTTCAGAAAGCAATTAGAAATCTGTGGATTTCAGTCAACAAGGTTTTGGAGTACTTTCAGTTGCTTTAGCCTCTCATACGCTCACGTTAATGAGTGCTCTGTTGGAAGATGTTTCCATTGAAGCAATTGCTGATTCCTCGACTCCGCCAGAACCGGCTCCGTTGGATATACTATCCACCGCTACAGCGCTTCAAAGAGCATTTACTTTTCTACAAGCTGTGCCACTTAATCACTTGTTGTTTTACTTAGCCACTATCAGTTACAGAAGGGTCAGTCTGTAGTAATTACACACATTTATGTTTCGTATTTAACCAATGCGGTATTTTTTATTAACGATCGTACGTTGATCGAATCTGTTTAACGTTTTAGGCTTGTACTTTGAAGAGAATACAAAAACATCCGTTTGAAGGCGACGCTTTGAGTCAGTCAGACTCTACGACTTACTATGAAGATCTCTTGAGTTGTTCAGACAATTCTACCGACGAAGGTAAAAAATGCATAAAATTGAAATTATTTTTTTTTTTTTTTTTTTTGTAACGAATAACGTAAGAAAAACGAATTATGAATATTTGAAAATATCTGTTTGTTCGTTGTACTGTATAGAAAAAATTAAAATTTTTCTATTTTGTAATAATTATTTTGCATGTTATTAGAAAGTTGTGCATAGTGTCGTGTGTACATTTAGCGGACGTGTATAGTTATCGTGTGTTCGATTTCACGTGATACATATTTTAAGTAAATAATTTCAAAGTTATTGTTCTCGCACAAGAAGGAGATTAACGGTGTAAACGCGTCTTCTCGCTATACAGAAAAAACTGTTATGTCGATAGAGGAGGACAGCGAACCTATTTTGGGCTTGTGGTTCGAGGAAACAATCGCCCCGTCCGACGGATCGCCGGCGAACGGTACTAAAGAATCTAACAATGAAACCAACGCCGAACGAACTGTGACAACTATCGTTCCTGATAATCGTGAACCTCATGGAGTAAGTGAATTGGTTCTTTCATTTTACAAACGTCGGTGAAAGATATTAGAGTGATTAGTTTCATTCTCTTTTACAGTATATATCACTGGCCACTAAAATTTTTCAATTTATGAACCAACATTTGATTGGTAATAGAAGTTTGTACGTTCGTGAATATGTAGTGAATGGTTTGGTCGAACAACAGATGGTAATATTAGCAGCAATAATCAGAGATTTGGACCATGAAACTGCTAGGACAGAGACCGGTAGGTGTTTGTATGTTGGTTTGTATGTTTGACAATTGTGCAAGATTTGTGTACCCACGAAACAAGTATTGCTGCGAAATATGAATTTCATTTCAGGTACTATATCGGTGTTCTACGGTGCCACACTGGGCACCATGTATTCCGAATTTTCTCAAGCTTTGAGTCTTTACACGCATAATCTACTTGTTCAAAACACATTGAGCGAAAGTTTGCAAAACACCCTTCTTCAGCATTTAGGTGTGAATCCATGGTCTGGAACGGAAAGTACAACTCCATGTACTTGGCCTCTTCAAGTATATCCACGAACATTAAGTGTGTTGGCACAGGTGTGCCCTTATTATATTTAAAACGTATACTTTCATGAAATTTTATAACTGTCTCTAATCTCATTTCGTCATTTTCAATACGAACGACAGGTTCTCCTATTAAAGCCTCGAGCGGAGAAAGAAGCGGCCTGTATAAGCATATGGCATCGTTTGATCACGACTATAGTTGAAAACGTGTGCAATCCACCTTCCACGTTTGAGGCAGAAAACGAAGGTAAGCAGACGTGTGCTTTTACATGTATACAGGTAATTTGCAGGTAATTTAAAGGTACTTGAATTTGATTCTAATTTACCAATTTACTAATTGAATTTAATTGCTGCTACGTATTTTATTCGTTTCTGTTTTATTCCTTCTTAGTCGAAAAACATGAATTTCGATTGTAACGAACGATTAAAGGAAATCAAATCGTATGTTCTGCCTTGTACGACATATTGATTTTTCATATTAATATTTGCAGATTTGAACGTGGAGCACGCTCAACTGGTTTTGATTCTATTTCACTCTCTTAATTTCATGCAAAAGAAATCGGTGCTGCTTGTAACTGGCAGCGGCGCTGTACGTTGCAGCGAGGCAGTTAAAACTCCAATGAAAGATTCTCAGTTACTGCATTTATCGCGATTATTGTTGTTGCTCGAATATATGATGAAACATCTTTATGACGCCCCACCTGCGTTACTTGAACAAGTGAGTAGTAAACGATATATCCGACGATTAATCGATTATTGTTACTACGAAAAGCATTTAATATTTTTCCCGTTTTATCATCTCTCGTCGTCTCATCTCGCTTCATTCTTCATTTATATCATATAGTTTATGTATTTTCGTTTGTGTCGTCGCGTTTTTAACGGGATTACAGAACGTTGCACGTTATTGATATTACTACGTTGAATAATGTGAATACGTGAAATGCGAAAGTAACGAACCAGAACAAGATACCAGGGCCACCAAATCGAAAGATACGTTTGAGTGGTAGTAAAAATCTTGTACATTTTCTTCATGAATTAAATATGAGGTTTTTGTATATAAGTTTACCTGTAATTTATCAATTGTATATTTTGGATGATTAATATATAGGTTCGATGGAATTTGTTTTCTGCGACGAGTTTGGTTTGTGATGTCAAAGATGGTAATAAACAAACGGCTCGAATTTTTACGCCATGGACAGTAATCGAAGACAATTATCGTAAAATTGATAATCAAGATGAATTTTCAATGAAACCTCGGTTTTATAATCTTTCCACCACAGATTTCAATAATCAGGACACTCCCAAATTGGACGGAGTGGTTGGTACATGGTTTATTAATAAATTAATAAAAAGCAACTTTTCGCAAAATTTTTAATCGTATTCGTACTGTTGTAATTGTTAATTCTATGTATATCGTCGTAGGCTTGCAATTTCATTCTGGGTGCGCCAGATAAAATGAAGTATCCACTCTTGGTCGATGCGTTAATAGATATTTTAAATGTTCTGAATCAAGCTGATATGCAAAAGAGGATTGGCGCTGATAGCAAAGACAAAACGCCCACTTTCGTAGGATTATGCGCAATTCGTTATTGTTTCTCCATATGTTGGCGGTAAGTAAGTCTCCATCGTATTCGATTCAAATATGTATGTCGTAAAATGCAAATTTTTCTCAGATTATTGCTAATGTTACCACCGTCTACTCTGTATATGGATAAATTGGCTCTTGGTGAGGAAATCCCTGCTGGGCCAATGTTGTTGTATTCTTTGATTTGGGGACCCAGAGCCGCGTGCAAAACTTTCACCAGTTGGATGAACGTAATGTCTATTTTCAATCGATTGAAATTAAGATTAAGTCAATTAACCGAGATTACTATGTTGTTAGAACATTCATGATTAAATTCATAAAATGGTCGTCATTTTTACTCGCAGGACTGTTTAATCAGGCAAGGAATGTACGCGCAATATGCAAGAAATCTGTTGAAAACGGTATCATCGACGGTAAACTCTCTCAAATACGATGTCACAGTTGCAAAAAACTGCATTACGGCGTTGAAACCGGAAACTAACTTTAACAATAAAATAATACCGAAAAACGCGTTGCCCAAACTCAGTTCGTTGTGTATTTTGGCTGCAGTTATCGGAAAATTACAAATTCTTTTCTACGAAAGTCTGTCGAAGAGTCAAAGTGAAACTATCGAGAGTTCGAAGTGAGTTTGAAAAAAATTGGTCGTAAATACTTTTTCTTTTTTTTTTTTATCATAGATTTTTCCTTATTTGATTTAACTGTATTTGAACCGTATATTTTTCGTACAGGAGCAGCCAAAGTGCGGAATCCGGAACTACGAATGCAAATAAAATGATGATCAATATTCTACCACACGTCCTTTCATTGACAGAATCGATTTTATTCTCGTATCGATCAAATATATTGCACGAGATGCTCGAATCTTTCGAATTAGACGGTAAATACGGTTCTAGAGATTATTGTATACTTGATGATATCATCGCAATGGCAGGCGCAAATTGGGCGACCGAAGCGTCTTTGATCACGTTTCTACCGAATTCGGTAAAATCAGTCATAGATAAGTGGAAGTCTATCAGCGTTGTTCACATTCCATGGGTAAATGTCTAATATCGTTGTGATTAGGATTTTTTTGAAAGGCTGTTAATAAATGTACGTTATTTTTCTGTTAATCACTATAATCCAGAATACTTACACAAATGACGTTATACCGGCAGAGAGTTACATTCTGGCTACCGTGTGTCAGCATATCAGTTCACTTTCTGAATATCCAACGTTTTCTATTAATCCGTCATTGAAAAAATTGTTGCACAATTTAGTTACATTTATAGTGGAGTACGTCACGTAAGTCACAAGTCGGATCGTGATCCGATTTTTATTTTTATCCCTTTTCACTGTATTGCAGTTTACCGAAGAATCTAACGAGAAAATTTGTTTGCAGCCCTACGACAGCACCAGAAAATACGGATGTTCATAATCAAGCGCTGGATATTCTTATTGCATTGTCTATGGATGCTCGCACAGATTATCTTCAAGATATGACTAACAAGGCATTGACAAAACTGCTAGGTGATAGCGATAGCGAGGCACGTCAGCTACGAGAACATCTTTTCGTATTGCATCGCACCTACAATTTGATAATTGAATATACGAGCGATGTCCAAGAACCTGTCAGGTACGTAACAATCAATAATTTATAAGAAATGGATCGATTTTGTAAGTTTTAATGTTGTTATACGCGCATAATTTCCTGTAACAACGTTCCCATGATTTTATGATTTATTTTTCAGTATTACCGTTGATGAAAAAATCTTGAAACGATGTATTAAATATTGGGAACAACTATTGGAAAAACCAGTCGGATGCAAGGCGTTGGATCTGTTTTTTGCACCGAGCACCAATCGATCTCTCGTTTCTATATTGTTGTGTGTAACATCTTCGCGATCCTCGCAACAATTTGCCACCCATGTGTTAAGATTTTTCAACGTGTTATTTAAAACAGGTAATGAATGTTTTATCGCTCTTTGTCTTGTTTAGTTTTCTTGTTTATTTGCAGCCCAATTCATAAATAATGATTTATTCATGTTCGTTTCTGTAATCAGCTGAGAAAGGAAGCGACGGGTCGTTGGAACGTCTTTGTGGATCCGTATCGAATTTGGCTCACGTAGAGCCGGAAAAGTTGCAAGTATGGCTGAAACAAATTATTTTAGGAGCAACGAATATCTCTCCAAATACATCTTTGACAAATGCACAAACCCCAACGATAGTGACAGCAAATACGTAAGTATAGGTATAATACTCTCAGTAGAACAAGTTATTGTTTTAAACAAGTGTTGTTAAAGTTAAAATTAATTGGTTTATTTAACGGCGGAACGATAGACTGGTTGCCGTTGCTGGTACAACTGAAGATGCCCAGAAGTCGGACGAGGTCAGTAATGTGCCGAATAACGAACAGGATCGATGGTTGATTTCGTTATCAAACGATTCAGCTAGCAATAATCAGTCAACGAGTATCACCGACGACCAACAACAGCAACAACAACAGCTTCAACAGCAACACTCGATGCATGAAAATAGTCGACTCTTGCGAGCGCTTACAAATTACATAGTTAAAGAGAAAAGGTATTTTTCGTTCGTTTTTCGTTCGTCACGGCTTTTGTTTGTTCCGATTCAAGTTAAGAGTAAATTGACAATTTAACGTTTGTTTGGTAAATCTTCGGACAGCAGCGTCGATCAAGGTGTACCTGTTACGATTCTTCGAGCCCTTATACCATTAGCTTATCAGATTCTTTCTCCGACGGTTGAGGGCAATGGATTCTCGGATTTAATGAATGTTATGTCGACGTTAGCCGATGCTGGTTCCGAGAAAGGGCATACTCTACTGTTTAAAGCCGGAATCGAATGGATCGAACTTTGGTAATACATAACGTTCATTAATTTACATACATACGAAAGATCCGTGTTCGAATCAAACGCATTCTATTCATCGTTTTATTTGTAAATGTGCAGCAAGGAACAATTGATCAACAAAGATCTCCAAAGTTTGGATAAACCGTTGCCGTTCGTTGAAGCTGGCTGTTGTATACTAAACTACGTGGCAGACGTAGTAAGTGCGATTTGTCCTCAGTCGATACAATCGCAAGATCGAGCAACTAGTCCACCGTGGGAAGGTGCTACTCCGGTCAACGACGTGAACGATAGCGATTGGATCGATGACATTCCACACGAAGACGAAGACAGTGCTGCTGACGATTCTGACGATGATAGCCTTTGTAACAAATTATGCACGTTCACTATCACGCTAAAGGAATTTATGAATCAACATTGGTATCATTGTCATACCTGCAACATGGTAAACGGAGTTGGAGTTTGCACAGTGTGTGCTCGCGTTTGTCATCGTGGACACGACGTCACGTATGCGAAATATGGAAATTTCTTTTGCGACTGCGGTGCCAAGAACGACGGTTTTTGTCAAGCATTGACGAAACGGAGCCCTCAATCGTCGGAACAACACCAAACAAACACAACTGCCGTTGGCTCCGGAAATACAGCTGCATCGACTAGCAGTTCGGCTGGCATTGCCAATACAAGTTATGGAAATACGCTTGGTACGTCGGTCGAGAATCGAGACCTTCTTCTCACGAGCAGTTTACGACGAAGAACTTCGAGCCCTTTGTACTTGTCTGACAAACAAGAGAGACAAGGGCGTGACAAACAGAGGCATACGTACTTGGCCAAACAGCTGGGTAATTCTCTTTCGATTTCGTTCCATCTTTCGTTCCATCGTTGGATCGAAGAACTCTAGTTTACTTACTTACTTACTTACTTTGAATTCTCGTTTTCATTTTTTATGGAACAGAAACGTCAAAGGATTGGATACAAGGTTATCTTTGGAAGAGCGGCTTGGTATCGTCGTTGGTAGATTTGACTCGTGCATTAGTACCGGCAGTAGATGCATCGTGTAGAAAAAACTCGGTAATTGGTTGTCACACGCGCGCTCAGATGGCACTTAAGCAGTTACACACGGTGGACAAAAAGTTTGAATATACAGATCAATTGATGGTGCGTATCGTTTCATTAATTTGTTTGCAGTAATGTCAACAATGTCAATAATAATGTTATTGGTAACGAGATGAAATTAGCAAGAGGTGTTACGTTGTTGTGTTTAATGTTGTGAATTAATTTCAGCTTCCCACTCTGGGATCGCAGGAAGGAGCATTTGAAAATGTTCGAATGAATTACTCGGGAGATCAAGGACAAACTATTAGACAGTTGCTGTCTGCGCATATGATACGTCGCGTTGCAATGTGTTGTTTATCCTCGCCCCATGGTAAAAGGCAACATCTGGGTAAGCGACCGATGTTTCAACTATGTTAATGTTGTCGCGTCTCGTTTCAATTCTCTCCGTGTATCTCCGGTTAATTTGATTTGCTTGGCAGTTAATTAATTTATTTGTAATAAATAGCAATAACAGCACGCGTAACGTGGATATTTTTCGTTTCTTTGTACAGCGGTTTCGCACGAAAAGGGAAAAATAACGGTGTTACAGTTAGGCGCATTATTGAAACAACCTGATTCGTCGAAGAGAAAATTAACATTAACGAGGCTTGCTTCTGCACCGGTACCCTTCACCGTACTGTCTGTAACTGGGAATCAATGGAACGAAGATTTCCTAGCAGTTTGTGGTTTCAAGGATTGTCACGTATTGACTTTCAATACATCTGGTACCGTGTCGGATCATTTGGTTCTGTATCCTCAATTAGAAACCGGCAACTTTATTATAAAAGCAATATGGCTGCCTGGATCACAAACTCAGCTAGCTCTGGTCACTGCGGATTTTGTAAAGATTTACGATCTTGCGAAGGATGCCCTTTGCCCCCAATATTATTTCCTAGTACCTACCGGGAAGATAAGAGATTGTACGTTTATGCATGCAGAGGATGGCGTGTTTTATTTGTTGATAATATCCTCGGCCGGTTACATATACGGCCAAGCAATGGACGAGGTAAGCTCGGCGAAATACGGACCTTTCTATGTAACGAATACCCTCGACGTGTATCATCCAGAAATAAGGGATAATGGTCAAGTTGGTGGTGGAGGCGTGTCGATTTATTATTCGCATGCTTTGCAATTACTCTTCTTCAGTTATGCGTGTGGCAAAAGTTTCATTGCGCCACTTAAATACATGGAAACTGACATAACTACTGTGTTTCAAATTAATCTCACTGGTAACAAAAGTTCGAACGGAAATAAATCAAACAACAATCAGCCCCAACCATTGTGTCAATGGAGCGAAGTGCCCAATCATCCTGGACTGATCTGTTCAATTTTGGAGACGAGTAACAATCCTGTAATATTGATGATCAAGCCTGATACGATAATGATTCAAGAAATCAAAGCTATCCCTGCCAAAGCTAAGATAATGGATATGGTTGTCATAAGGCATTCAAGTTCAAATGCCGAGCATCGAACGACGTTGATTTTATTATGCGAAGATGGAAGTTTGAGAATTTATATGGCTGGGATGGAACAAACTGGCTATTGGATGTCTCCTGCTGTTCAACCGGTAGGCATAATGGCGACGATTAAACCGGCGCGGAAAAAGAAAACCATCAAGGCGGGGAAACCAACAGGATCCGTTACTTTCCCTATCGATTTTTTCGAACATTGTCAAGTGATGAACGACGTGGAATTTGGCGGTAACGACTTGCTACAAATTTACAATGTTGCCCAAATTAAGCATAGGCTGAACACAACTGGAATGTACGTTGTTTCTACGAAAACAATGGGATTCACTGTTGAAGTTACCAACAATGACGCTGTTTTGGTCATAACGGGGATTCGAGTATTACTCGGGAATCAGGACGTTCAAAGAGCGCCGGTTTACATCGAGGTAAATCTAAATGGATCTTCAATTTTGCAACTTTGCTTGTAAACGCAAGTACAGACATGGGTGTGAGATGTTCTGTTTTCCAGGTATTTGGTAGAAGTATTCGAACAACTGTAAGTAGAAGTCGTTGGTTCGACATACCTTTGACTCGAGAGGAAAGTCTCCAAGCTGACAAGAAATTAACTATCACGTTCGGACCGTCTCAAGATCCCGAAGGTGTCATTATGGTGGATTGCATTAAAATGTACGTAAAGAGTTGTAACGGCAAAGCGCTAGTTGTGACGAATGATTAAGACAGTACGATTGTTTTCAAGTTGACGGTATACGGTTGATGGTCTCTTTCTTTTCTTTTTTTGATTTTATTGACGTTGATCACGTTTAGATATGGTAAAACGAAAGATGCCTTTGGTTGGCCTGAAGAAATAGAGGATGTCCCGACAGGTCAGTCAACGTCTGCACCACTAACCACGATAAACAGTGAGACAGATAGTGCCCTATCTGCACCTGCTTCTTTATCTTCTGTCGATAGGTATCTAAACAATAATAATTAATAACATGTGAATATATGCATACATACAGTATAATAGTACAGTTGTTAATTCAAAGTACAATGAAATCTTTTATCATTGCATAATGGTTTAGCACAACAAAGGACAATTCCCTTGATATCGATAGGTAAGAAATATTTAAAACAATCAATCATTTACGGATTAATTAAAGTGATGAAAAAAAAAAATCTCTAACCCTTAACGTACATGTGCTACTATATTTATATATATATATATATATATATATATATATATATGTATATATATACATATATATACATATACATATACATACATACACTACGATACCACTTCCTGCAATTACGTTGTATATCAAGTATGTTTATTTTAGGATGATCGCGGGTATGTTGGAAGTTTTGGAATTATCTTTCAATGTACCCTCCAACGACGAGAACAAGCTATCGTTGAAAGCAACAGCTATCGAGGTAGCGTCGCAATTACTCATATTACCGACTCCTCCTCCCGTACAAGTGCATACAACCGCACTTCTAGCTGCTTTACACCCGTCCAAACAGGCGTATCATCTTCATAAAGTAAGTTTCGCTGTAAATGAAACTGATTTTTCATTCTGGTTGTTCTTTTTATTATTATTGTCGTTATTATTTATTAGGATTACGTACTATTGTCACACGTACTGGACTCGTTGAAGTCGATGAGAGAACTCGAGGATGCTCGTGACATAGATGCAGAAAACTTTTATAGACTGGTACTTATAGTTCGGAGTATATCCATATCACGACCACAAAATTTTGCCAAGTTTACCGAACAATATACAAACAAACCAATAGACGAAACCAACGGTGAGTTATTATTAACGAGTTACTATTATCGATCAAGAGGCAAATGGCTACCAAATCTCTTGGTTTCTGCGGTAATCGATAAAAGAAATCTGATGGATAAAAGAAACTTTTGTTTGTCAATTTAGTACCAATTTTTGAAAAGGATCGACAAAATGTTAGCCAGCCTCGTAAGAGTACAGATGAAAATCAGCAACATTTAGTGGTACAACTTATGGAAATGTTGTGGTCTTTGCACATGGCTTATCCGAAGAATATGGCTCTTGCACCGGTCGTAGTTCCAGGATTAACCCACGCCGAAGGAACGATTCATGCGATTGTTGAAATAATCCACTCGTTTACGACGTGTGATGTGGAGAGAAATATTCCCTTGGCTGCTAAACTATATTTACAGTTATTACTGTCATCTGACACGACCATCAGCTTTACCGTTAAGCAGGCAATAATTCGTGTGCTTCGACCGAGGTACAAAAGAAGAAGAGTTTATATACCAAGTCCCCCTAATTGTAGCACACCGGGTAAGGGAGTGAGAAAACAAATAATTGTCAATCGTGAACAACGTTGTTTTGTGAATATTACGTTGTTTTGATTATTTTATATTTGCATGCAGGCACGGCCGTGGACGCGGAAGAGAAGCCAACAACGTCGTCCGTGTCTCAGTCACATCGAGAATTGCCGACAGCCACGTCAACGGTGTCGACCGGGATCGATCGGGATACGGAACATTTGGATGCGGAAGCGATTGGCTCGTCAGTGATCGATCCTCTGGCAGTGATGCTGGCAACGGATGGCAATCAAAGTTCAACTGCTCCTACAACGAGTGCGGTATCTGCTAGTATAAGCAGAAACTCAGCTGGTGGTAGCGCTAGCGGTGCTGGTGGCACCAGCAGCAGCAGCAGCAGCAGCGGACCGATAGCAAGGGGAGCGGTAAATCCTTTGGAAACGTTGCTCGGGTCAGGAAGTTTTCCACAGATGTTGGACGTACCGCCGGATACCGACGACGAAACGATGGTAGAATTAGCAATCGCGCTTAGTTTACAAGACCACGAAAGTGGAAACGCCGACTTGCAAGTACTGCGACAAGGATTCCAACAAAGTCTGTCGAACTTGCAAGGATTGGAAAACCTTCAAAACTTAAACGGACCGGCATTGCAAAGCTTGCAAGCACTGGCAGCGCAAGGTTTGGTCCAAGTTCAAAATACAAATCAGGTGAGTGAAAGTGAAGTTTCGAATAAACTACTTTCCATACGTTTGATTGAGAAAAAAAAAAAAACGATTTTCGGTGTAAGTTTAGTTGAATCTAATTTTGAGCGTACTGAGAGTGAGCTCTCTTCCGTTCTTAGGGTCAAGAAGGTGGAGGTCATTATTCAGACACGACCGCTTCTGCTGGAGGCTCGGACGACGAGGGATCAACTGCTGCCACAGACGGCAGTACGCTGCGGACGTCGCCGGCAGAACAAGTGAGTTACACTTTTGATTTTTTGCAATGACCGTCAACGAATCGGGGCTGCGCGTGTGCTTACCTTCCATTTATTCTCGTTGCTGTTTGTTTATTGGTAATGAGCGATACAAAGAAGAAGAGAAAACAGTGAGAGGGGCGGGGGGGGGCGGAGGGAGGGAGATTACGGAGCATCCTTTGTTGGATGGTAGTGTAATGTTTGGGATATATTTTATGTTAGGGTGGTAGTGGTGGTAGCAAGGGTAGCGAGAGCGGTGGGAGCGAGAGCGGAGGAAGTGCTGTAGACAGCATGACAGGGGAGCATAATGTATCGGGAAGGAGCTCCGCGTACGGAGACAATGGTCCCGATTCTATACCTCCGATTGGAGGAATTGGAGTCAACCAAGCGCAACGTTCCGAAACTAATTCCGTGGGTGTTCCCGCGGCTTTTACCGTAAGTGCTTCCGTCACTGCGTTCGTCGTTGGCGTTATTTTTTTTTTTTTTTACCGTTACTTTGTGTCCAGTACATTATGATTATGATTATGATTATGTCGTGATTACACGAACGACATACATTTGTTTCTCTGATCTTTTTCCAAGTATCACTTTACGTTTCATTCATCTCGTTTGTCCATTCACAGTCGCCGCCACACATCCTCCCTCCCCCTCCCTCCGATATATACAAATATACATATATACATATATATATATTCGTTTGCTCATGCAACTTCTTTTTTCACGGTAGACTCTCGCTATGACACAGACGATTGATTTACCTTTAGTTTCGATTCTAGTTCCAGTCCCAGTTCCAGTTTTAGTCTCAGTCTCAGTTTTAGTGTTCAATATACACACTCACACCTTTGTACTCGCGCATCGCGTTTCCGAACACGCTTTACAGATTGTATTTTTTAACGCGTACATTGAAATGTAACAAATAACGAAAGTCCACCGTAAGTAATTCGCACTCTCCCCATTTTCTTCTTTCCTCTCTTTATAACGACGCTCTTTACTGTTCAGTAAAAAATAAACAAAAATAAACCAAGGAGGACTTTAGATTGCCGTTGTAATGACAGAATGACATTTTTTTGAGCAGGTTACCGAGCAAGAAGAAGGTACGGAACAAGAACACGTCGCGGAACAGGAAAATGACACGAGCTGCGAAACTACTGCAAAACTGCATACGATACGATTATTATTGCTGGATAAACTCATGCGGTTCGTACCAAATTTGACGAACGTGCCTGGTGTCTTGACTGTTCCATTTATGCAGGTTTGTTTACATTTTTGTACATCTTGTCGAAACGAAGGAGGAGTGAGTTGTTGTGTGGTCTTTGTCTTCGTACATAATGAACATAATGGACACACGTGTGTCCAATACCTTTAGGTGCTACTGATGTTAACTGCCGATTTAGACGGGCAAGAAGAGAAAGATAAAGTTTGTGTCGAACGACTGCTTCGAATATTGGTGACGGAATTAGAAATGGACAAACCGGACACGAGTAACATATGGCAGCGTAGCAACAAGCGAGAAGTTCATTTGGTCATTATGCGATTGCTGAGTGAGTGATTTAAAGATGAAAAAATATTATCAATAAATTTAAGCTATATATATATATGTGTGTGTGTGTGTGTGTGTGTGTGTGTGTGTGTATGTATATATTCTTGTTCTGTTCAATCAACAGGTGTTTTAATGTCTCGTTCGAAACACACTGCGAAAACGCAAGCGGAAAATTCAAATTTTATCTCTCAAATGGCAGCTGCGATACTCAACAAGGCTGGAGTAATCGATTATTGCTCGACGTTGTTGAAAGCGTTGTTAGAATATTGGAAAACGTACGTTCGTCCACGAGATGCATGTATAAGAGAAAAACGTATAAAAACGTGAAAATAACGATTCAGGCAGCAAGAATTCGAGCCGTTTCACACTTTCTTTTTCTTTCGTAGAACGTCGACCGAAGAGGCCGATACCATCCTTGGTGGCCAATTGCTTAAAGAACATCTCACCACTTCTCTGCCGGACATGTCGCCGCTTTTTTTGCGACAACATGTCAAGGGACACGCTGGAGATATATTCGAACCTTATCCACAATTGCTGACGGAAATGGTGTTGCGATTACCCTATCAAGTATACAAATACGCTGAAAGCAGTTCGACACAGTCAGCTTTCGAACAACCTTGGTACTTTTATCTCTGCGAGTATATGATGTCTTACCAAACGCCACTCGTTAGAAGACAAGTACGCAAATTACTGCTGTTTATTTGCGGTAATAAGGAAAAGTACAGACAACTGCGGGATTTGCATGCCCTGATCTCCCATGTTCAAGTAAGTTGATTCTTACTGTTGCAATTTCTTATCACGTGTGGTGTGTTGTGTTGCGTTGCGTTGCGTTGCGTTGCGTTGCGTTGCGTTGCGTTGCGTTGCGTTGCGTTGCGTTGCGTTGCGTTGCGTGCTGCTGTCACGAGCTCCCGTGTTGCATTCGATATACTTTTTAGTCGGTTCAACAATGCTGTACCGCTGGCGGATTTGATCCTCTTCAGACACGCCCACACTCCATCAATTTACCGTACGATTCGTTGGTAGATTTGATCGAACACCTGAAATGCTGTGTAGAAATTGCTACAAGTCGCACAGGAAATTGGCAGCGATTCTGTTTAAAGCAGAACACGGTGCTCTCTTATTTGTTTACCATATCGACGTTGTTGGACGAAGGCGTTAGTCCCACGGTGTTGCAACTCTTACAGTGCGCCATATGCTCGAGCAACAAATCGAAAGAAACAAAGGATACCAAGACGAAAGTAAGTTTTTTCTGTTTGGAAACAACAAGAAAAGAGTTATCGCGGAAAAGAACAAAAAAAAAAGGAATGTTGTTCCTCTGTTCTGCCAGGAATCGAAATCTGGGACTGTAACAAGCTCGAAAGAAAGGCGGGAACGTGAAAAGTCGGAAGACTCGGATACAGAGGCCAAGTTCGAGGAAGCTCAATGTTTGGCGTTGGTCGAACAAATTCAGAAGCAAGTTTCTCCAGGCCTGTTGACGAAATTTATTCAAACCTTTTTACTCGAGACGAACAACACGAATGTCCGTTGGCAAGCGCATTCTTTGATACTGGCTATTTACAAGTGAGCAAATTTACATCTCCTCTCTGTTGTTAAATTTTCAAATTTTTTACAAAAAAAATTTCCTCCTTTTATGAAGGATTTCTTGAGTTTGACAAGTCGATCCTGATCGTTTTTCTAATTTTTCTAATTTCCGCAGAAATTGTGGCCCGGCGGATCAAGAAGTTCTACTAGACTTACTGTGGCGCTTGTGGCCCTTGTTGCCGGCTTATGGTCGAAAAGCGGCGCAGTTTGTCGACTTGCTTGGTTACTTTTCGCTAAAAACTCAGCATGCTAGTAGAAAGATGCACACGTATATGGAACAGGCGGTTGCAGTGTTACGCGCGCAAAATCAATTGCTGGCACGTCACCCGAATGCAAATCTGTACGCAAATCTTGCACAATTCGTCGAACTGGATGGGTATTACTTGGAAAGCGAGCCTTGCTTGGTGTGCAACAATCCCGAAGTTTCAATGTCAACGATCAAGCTTTCCTCGATCAAAGTCGACTCGAAATTCACGACGACTACGCAAATTGTAAAATTGATCGGCAGTTACACGATAAGTCGCATTACTCTGCGCATAGGCGACCTGAAGAGGACAAAAATGGTGCGTACGATTAACATATATTACAACAATCGATCGGTCCAGGCTGTAGTCGAACTGAAAAATAAGCCAGCCATGTGGCACAAAGCTAAGAAGATAACGCTAGCTCAGGGACAAACGGAGATCAAGATGGAGTTCCCGTTGCCAATCGTTGCGTGCAATCTAATGATCGAGTATGCGGATTTCTACGAAGATATACAAGCTTCTTCCGAGACTTTGCAATGTCCACGATGTTCGGCCAACGTGCCTGCAAATCCCGGTGTTTGTGGCAATTGCGGGGAGAACGTATTCCAGTGTCACAAATGCAGAGCGATCAACTATGACGAGAAGGACCCGTTTTTATGCCATGCCTGTGGTTTCTGCAAGTATGCCAAGTTTGACTACACGCTCACTGGAAGACCTTGTTGCGCCGTGGATCCTATCGAAAGCGACGACGATCGAAAGAAAACGGTAGCGACGATCAACACTCTGCTGGAGAAGGCGGACAGAGTGTACAAAACTCTGATTTCGAACAAGCCAACGTTGGAGATGTTGCTGATTAAAATATCGGAACATCGATTGGATCGCGGCTTGGTGGAAGACGGTGCGGCAGCGGCAGCGGCCATCCAAGTATCGAGCGGAAGCACTCAGGTGAACAGAGCCATACAGCTGCTTGCACAGAGATATTGCGGCGAGTGTAAAACTTCGTTCGAAGAACTGAGCAAAATCATACAAAGAGTCTTGGCTTGTCGACGAGAACTCGTGGCGTACGATCGTCAGCAACGAGACCAGATTATCGCCAGTTGTTCTTCGACAGTTGTGACGAACAACGACGCGACGACAATGACGACGATGACGATGATGACAACAACGACGGCAGCAACGACGATGGCAACCGCCGCCACGACCATCACTACGGCGGCGACAACAACGACAACGACGACTATGGCGACGGCGGCGGCGACGGCGACGGCGACGGCGACGGCGACGGCGACGGCGACGACCACGGCCACGACGACGGCCACGACGACGGCTACGACGACGGCCACGACGACGGCCACGACGACGACGACGACGAGCAGCAATACGAATGGCAATGACGAATCTTTGGCAAACGCCCAAGTTCCACAGTCGACGGCGACGATGGCGCATCAGCAACAACCTGCCGTCGGATACGTGAATCCGCAAACGGTAGGTCGTTGTTACGGGTGTGCGACCGCGGCTACGGAACATTGCCTGACCTTGCTGCGGGCTCTCGCTACCAATCAGGTAGCCAAAGAGGTTCTGTGTAAACAAGGATTGATACAGGAGCTGGTCGAGCACAATTTACGCAAGGGTACCGTGCAGATGCAGGAAGAGGTTCGGCAATTGCTGTGCCTGGTTACCAGGGACAACGCGCAGTCCACCAAAGAACTTTGCGCTCTGTTGACCGGTCGAATCACACTGACGCTTCGCGGTCGTGTCGTCACGTCGGACTTGTCGTTGGCGGTGCGTCACGAAATGGCGCTGCTGGCGGCCTTGATACAAAAGGAGGACACTTGTTGGGAGCAAAAGCTGCGCTGCGTGATGCAGTTGTTCTTAATGGCGTGTAAAGAATCGAAGAGCCCCGTGGTGATGGAAAGCATCATTTTACCGTGTTTGAAGATACTGCAAGGTCTGGTGAAACCGGAGCAGCAGCCGGCGGTCTCGGCAAAGAAGAGCAAGGACAGGGGCGCTGGCGTCGAGTCGCTGGCGAGCATTCAGCCAGCCGAGAGTATCACCATCGACGTGAACAAATGGTTGAACGGTGACGCGAAACACTCGTACTCCGAGTGGATCCGCCGCGTGCCCGCCGCGAAGAGAATGGAGCAGCAACAGTCGTCGGGCAGGCCTTCCTTGAAGAAGGAAGAGGTCCGAGCGCTCTACCTGATGGAGAAGTACGGCCACAGATGGTACAACCGGTGTCTGAGAGGTGTGCAAGGTGTCCAGCCGTTGAAATTGGCCGACGGCGCCTGGTTAAAGGAGGTGTTGTTCAACCCGAGTTCGCGACTGGCGCGACAAGTTGCTTGCAACATGATAGAGAGTCTCTGTCAGGGGACGGAACGGAAGAAGGAGGTACTCGTGTTGCTCACGTGTTATCTGGAGGAATTGCGAACAGCTGGCGAGAGTAGTACGGAATTTCTGACGCTGTACCAAAGTTTGATCAGACAGCCGCCGTGGAAACAGTTTCTGGCGGTACGAGGCGTCATGACATTGCTCGCGGACCTCTTAACGAGAGAGATCGAGGAGCTACATCGGCTGGAGGAAACGACGTTGACCAGCGATCTGGCGCAGGGCTACTCGCTGAAAATGCTCACCGAACTGATGGCCACGTTCCTCGAACAGGAGAACATCAAGCAACAGTACAAAAGCCGTTTGGTGGGCGCTGTGCTTAACGGTTACCTCTCTCTGAGGAGATTGGTCGTCCAACGGACAAGGTTGATCGACGACACGCAGAAGAAGCTGTTGGAACTTCTCGAAGAGATGACCACCGGGACCGAGGAGGAGACGAAAGCTTTCATGGCAATCTGCGTGGAAACTGTGCAAAAGTACAGCGTCGAGGACGTGCGTACGCCGGTGTTTATTTTTGAGAGGCTCTGTTCCATCATTTACCCGGAGGAGAACGACGTCGGAGAATTTTACCTGACCCTGGAGAAGGACTCGCAGCAAGAAGATTTCCTCCAAGGTAGAATGCTGGGAAATCCTTACAGCAGCTTGGAGCCGGGCTTAGGGCCGCTCATGAGAGACGTGAAGAACAAAATCTGCCTGGATTGTGAGCTGATCGCGCTTCTAGAGGATGACAACGGGATGGAGCTTTTGGTTAACAACAAGATAATCAGCCTGGATTTGCCTGTAAAGGAGGTGTACAAGAAAATCTGGGTGCCGGAGGGTGGGGAGTGCGATGCCATGCGCGTGGTGTACCGAATGCGCGGTTTGCTCGGAGACGCGACCGAGGAGTTTGTTGAAAGTTTAAACGCCAACAGCGAGCAAGAGATAAACAACGAAGAGGTCTATAAAATGGCGAACGTTTTGGCGGACTGCGGTGGTCTTCAGGTAATGGTGAATCGGTTGGCGGCGATACAAAACGTGAACCGAGCTCGACCGTTGCTTCAAGTCCTTCTGAAACTGTTCCGGCTCTCGGTCAAAGTGAAAAAGAATCAAGAGGTTTTGAGCAAGTTGGGAGCGGTGACGGTGTTCCTGGACGTTCTGCAACGCTGCCTGGCAACCGAGTCGGAGAACTGGCAGGCAAAAATTATCGAGCAACTGTTGGAGATCATGGAAACCATCCTGACGCATGCCTCCTTATCCACCCTCGAAGCCTTTTCACGGACGTCCAGCGGCCCTGAGCATATAAAAGCGCTTCTCTCTTGCGCCCAATCGACCGCCGTCAGACAAAGCAACGTGTTACCTCAGCTTGCGCGCGTACTCGCCGCCCTCACGTACGGAAATCGTGAGAAAATGTCTCTCCTTTGCGATTACTTTAAACCGGTGTTGGACTTTTACGAATTCGATCACGAGCATACGCCGGAGGACGAGCAAAAGCTCGAGCTGTTCTGCATTCTGACACAAGCCATCGAGCGAAATGCAATTGGCAACACTCTCAAAGACTACATCATAAGCATGGGTATCGTGAAAGATGCTTTCGAGTATATAACCGTGCGCGCCCCTTGCCTCAAACCTACGCTCTTGCGAACCGACAGCGACGAACTGAAGGACTATATATCGAAACCGGCGCTCAAATACATCTTGCGATTTTTGACTGGCCTAGCCACCGATCACGAACCAACGCAGCTGGCAGTCTCTCAATTTACTATCAGCATCATTCACAGATTGGAGCAAGTGTCTTCGGACGAGCATGTCGGATCTTTGGCAGAGAATTTGCTGGAAGCGTTGTGCACGAACAAACGCGTTGCCGAACTGATCGAAAAGGCCCGACAGCACACGCGTAGCGAGAAGAAACGACTGGCAATGGCGATGCGAGAACGACAGTTGGGCGCGTTGGGTATGCAAACCAACGACAAGGGCCAAGTGGTCGCTAGCGGAGCGATCCTTCAACAAATGGAAGATTTAGGAGACGAAACGGGATTGGTCTGTGTAATCTGCCGTGAGGGATATAAATTCAAGCCAAACATGGTAAGTCGTAAAGTAAAACCTCTCTATAAAGTAAAACTAAAAAACGCGAGTACGCCTTCAGTACGTCTTGGTTCCCTTACTTTCTCCACTTGCCGTTAACAAGCCGTTCTTCTTCGATCGGTTCTTTCTTCAATTTTTCCCATTAACCGTTGCACGTGCCTGTTCGCGTACTCATCAACTCGCGTACCTACTCGTGGCTTGTTGTTATTCCCTTATTTGGTTTCCAGGTTTTGGCCATTTACACTTTTTCGAAACGTTGCAACGTCGAAGAGTTCGAAACGAAACAAAGAAAGACGGTTGGGTACAGCACCGTTACACACTTCAATGTTGTCCATGTTGACTGTCACATGTCTGCGGTGAGACTGGCACGTGGCAGAGATGAGTGGGAAAGTGCAGCGTTGCAAAATGCAAACACAAAGTGCAACGGACTTTTGCCACTGTGGGGTCCTCAAGTATTGGAATCTGCTTTCGCTAGTTGTTTAGCGAGACATAATACCTATTTGCAAGAATACACCAGTCATCGGGACATATCTTATCCATCGACCGTTCACGATTTAAAGTTGCTGCTGCTACGATTCGCTCAAGAGAAAAGTTTCCACGAAGATAGTGGAGGAGGCGGTCCACAATCAAACATGCACTTGATCCCTTATTTAATTCACACGGCACTTTACGTAATCAACACGTACGTTGACGAATTTTATTACTCTTATTAACTTTTATTTGCTCTTCTTTATTTTTTTTTTTTTTTTTTTTTTTCTCCACTCATTTTTCTTCCCTTTCTTGTGAAGAACGTGTTGCCACATTTGCGCCTGTTGTTTATGTATACATGTATACCTTATTCCAACAAACTGTGTATTTCTAGTACGTTGGCAGACGCTCGGGCGGACAAAACGTTGATTGGATATTTGGAAACGCAACCAAATTCTAGCTGGCTTGAAAGTTGTTACGAGGCAGAAGGACCATTCTACCAATGTACCATGTCACTTTTGCTTCACACGCCAGCTCGCTGGAAAACGTACAGGATCGTTCATTTGAATAGACTAATTGTTCTTGCTCATCAACGATACGTTTCACCATCGGGTCCGACAAAAACTATCGTCGATGTTACCGTCAAGCATTATGCCGTATATAAAAGCGCCTTAATCTTCTTTGGTCTAGTCGATTGTATTTATGCTAATTTTTTCAAGGTACGCACTTTCTCTTTGCTATTCAATTTACACTCCTTTGTTATATTCTTCTATATAAAGTTTTCGATAATCCTTTGTCATTCTATTGGTTTCATCGCAGAAAGTTAACGTATTATCCGATAACCAATGGCCATCGGTTTTGGCCGAATATATCAGACATAATGACGAAGCCATGTTAAAAGCCTCGGAACGTGTATTAGCTACATACCGCGATGAGCTGTTACCGTGTACGTCTTTCGAGGAATTTTGTGATGTTGCCGGTAAGTAGAAACAGAAACAAAAGTAGAAGTACAAGTCAAAATTCACGAGTAAAAAATTTTCTCGCCACATTTTTCTTCTAAAGAGTTGTTCCCACACAAAAAAGACTTGTTCCCTCTTTTGATTTTTGAACTTTTTTATTTACTGTTGTTATCAGATCTATCGTATCTATCGTCTAATTAATCGAATAATCACAAATTAATGTCATTGTATTTTTTCCAGGCTTACTGGACGAGGTAACGGAACCTACGTACATAAGCGATGTTTTGAGAAGACTTGGTTAAAAAGATTAGAAAAATGCTACGCTATTGAAAGGAAATGCGCTCTTTTACATAAAAATATAACAGTTTTCCTCGAATTGTCAAATTTCATCTTACTTTCAATTTTATTTTCTTTGTTTACAACGTGTACTACGTCTACGCGCACTCACTCCACGTTATTAACTCTTCTTGTACATCTCAGTAAGTTCCTTTCATTATCTCGATCATTAAATAAATACAAATAATTCCAATTGCTCTGTGAACCAGCTCTGTAAATTGCGAGTTATTCGTTGGACAAAAATCCAATCAGTGTATCGCGTGCTATTCCGCAACTGTACGTTTCAAAAAAATATGTGCTTTAATAAAATACGAAATATATTATAATTTATACTTCGCTCCAGTAATATTTATTTACGTTGCATCCTGATTTGCTAATAAAAAGGTACAAATTATCACATTTAATCTCAGGTACGAAAAAATACATACATACATGTATATATATATTTTCTTTTTTCCTTTTTCATTCTGCCACTTTCTCTACATAAACATATTTATGCTGTAAGGTTCTCTTTTATAATCCTTCCTCCTTTTTCTTTCCTTTTTAATACATTTAAAGATGCTATTCCGTTCCGTTCAAAATATTATACACATTGTTTTATTTTTTATTATCGTATAAATAGAAAGGAAAACATGTTTGCTTTACAAGTAAATTACATAGTTACAAACGTAAAGTTATCGATTATACATAAAAAATGGTAAGAAAATTGTTCGCCAAAAAGCTGTTTACGTTCGAATTTCTTCCCTACTAAACCGATCCGTAATAATTTAAATTTATTGCGCTTATTCAATTATAGTGGTAGTGGTAATCTTAATACCTAACTGTATAAAACCAAATTCTACTTCCTACAACTATTCGAGCGAATTGTCTATTAAAATTATCAATTTCATCAAGATTGAAAATTTTTAGCAAGTATAAAAATTTTAAAAAGTAAAGAAAAAAATCGGATAAGACGTTTCTAAAAAATACAAACGCGTTTCAATAGAATATTTTTAATAAAATCGTATATTCTATGTGTCACTTTTCCATAATTTGATAGTTTTATCGTTTTCAAGGGCGGCTGAGGCTATAATATTATCGGTTGGATGACACGTCGTACACAGTACAACATCTGCAAATTAGAAATTGTTTAGTACATTACACATCACATTAATATTTTTCCATAATGATACAAAATTATAATCCGTCCGTTATACCTGTATGACCTTGTAATTTTTGAACAATCTCCTTAGTCTGCAAATTCCAAATGTACACCATATTATCTTCTGAACCCGATACAATCCACTAATTGACAATAGAAATCCGTTAAACGATTCATTTATCTATGTACATCGAATAAATATTACGTACAAACATATAATTGTATAACCTACCTTTCCTCCAGTAACTGAAAAATTTGCAAAGATACAATATTTTTCATTTTTATGACCCGTATACGTTTTCAGACATTTTCCTTTGCTATAATCCCAAAGTTTTAACGTATTGTCTAACGTCGCCGCTAAAATATATTTTCCATTTGGTGAAAATTTTACAAAAGATACAGGAGGATTGTCATCGTCGATCAAAGTTTTCAGACATTGGCCGGATGCGGTGTCCCAAATTCGACTATACAACAGCCACATCAATTAGTACTGTTTCTATTCGTTTATTTATTCTCAAACAAAGAAATATTGATATATAAAGGAATATGCACATTTACCATAATCCATCGTAACTGCTAGACACAATTAATGAACCGTCCCTATTAAAATGAACCGCACTTACAGGATCTGAATGAGCGGGTAACGTTTTCAGACATTTTCCAGTTCTAACATCCCATATCCGGACACTTTCATCAAACTGTTCGTAATAATTAATATCATCATGTACATAATATCGACAATAATAATAATATTGAATATCCATCCAATATCGTTAATAATATCGTTGCCATTCTTATACGTGCAAATCTCTGTCCACATAAATACAAAAGTTATTTTTGATCAAGTTCAGAAATATTGTAAAAAATTATAATTTGATATTAAATTGCCATTTTTTAAAAATTCTTTTATTTAATTCAAGCACTATCATCAATTTTTCTCTTTTTCTGTTTCATTATTATAACTTGTATAATATTTTCATTATTACCACGTAATGGCAAGTTCACCAATAAACTTATGTATATAATTCAGAGGCTTGCACGCTATTCCGAAAAACCGTGTTTTTCTCACATGAATGAACTTTTCTATCAAAATACTTACAGAACCAGAAACTATTAAATTCGATTGTGGATTAAAATTGCAACAGAAAACATAGTTGCTATGACCTTTTAAAGTTTTTAAACACTTCCCCTGGAAATAAAAGAAACTGTATCAAACAACTATAGCATGAAATTATTATTATTTAAATTTAGTTATAAATTGTTTACGATATAGACCATATATTTATATGCCTTTAAAAAAAAAAAAAAATAAGAAAAAATACTTCGTAATTTGTAATCTAAATTCAACTTAAATGTATATTCTTGAGATAAAAATAGTGGACTTACAGAACTTAATTCCCATATTTTTAAAGTTTTATCGTCAGAAGCAGATACTAATAGTCTACTATCGCTAGACCATGCTACATCCGAAATACCAAGTTTATGGCCAGATATGGTTTTCTCAAATTTTCCATCATAGGATCCCCATATCTTAATTAATTTATCCGCAGCTGCAGGCAAAAAATTAATCACGTTTCAATGAACTCAACAGTTATAAGATGGACGTAAGATTAAAAATGTTTCTACTTACAAGAGCTTGCTAGCCATTCCCCATTAGGACTAAACTTTACAGAGGAAACTGCTTTGGTGTGACCTGCCAACGTGTACTTCAAAGTATAGTTTGGTTTCTACAAAAATCAAAAGGCGTAAAGGAATTTTCATAATGTTGTTCAGAAAAAAAAGAAGAGAAATATTAATAAAAATACTGTGCAATGAGAAAATGAAGAAGAGCAGAAAATATTATAAAATGCAAAGTATAAAGTACAAATTAATAAGTTTACTTGCCAATGTAGAGCTACTTTTAGTGCCACTAGCTGGAGCAGTTGCAGTGTTATTGACGGATGTTTGATGACCTGGTGATGGTCCAAGTGGTACCATTTTTATACGAAACTTTCAGCGAATACGCCAACTTTCAAATAAAAATTGAGGATTATATAGGAGCGAAGATTAAAATAAATTGTATCGAGAAACTTTGAGAATTTTCAGCGCATTCAATATTCGATCCTCTAAGTGAAAATCCAGTTCCTTTGTTAAAAGAATAAATTCGTTCAAATTCCTTTACTTAAAATCAGTGTGAAAACCTGCATCTTGAACTCAGCATATCCAAAATTGTTTATTGAAGATGTCTTTACATTTTCTTGAAATCGTTAAAATAACCGCTAGTAGGAGTAATTTTTTATTGTTGACTACCACACTATTTACCAAGTCTCGAATCGTAAAATTATTCTATATGCTCTTTTTCGTGCTTCTTTCTCCAGTTCTTCACCTTTAATTTTCGTGTTTGTCTCTTTTCAGTTATACTTTCGTAAATAAAAACATTCCTTTATTAATGAAGAGTTTCCAAAGCATTTATATACCTGGCGAAAACGAAAAACAACAAAATTGCGTTCATAACACTCGATGTTCTGCATTAGGTTCGTAAAACTTGAACCTAAACCATTGATCAACTAGGGATAGAAGAGATGTGACATCGAACAAAAATTCGCGTTCGAAAAAAATCAAAATGTTTCTTGCGCCCTCTTTGAATCACGTAAACATCACGTGAGAATTATTTTCAATTCGTAAAGAACGGAAAGACCAGCAGCTGTGCTATGAAAATATGTTCAATCTTGTCAAATTTTCGTCAAAAAGGAAAGAAACCACTGCGTAATTAATGTAAAATATCAGCGTTTATTAGCAATTAATGTAAAATAATCTATTTGTGGGGATTTTCAGTCGCCTGCGTGTTCGAATGTTCAACGGAAGATGGGAAAAGAACAACCAGGATGTTTAACAGTAATTTATTAATAGCAGAAGGGAGTTGACCAGAATTGACCAAAGTTGACCGCGCGCAAATGTTTGTATTTCAAGATTGACGTCACGTTAATGATACGCGAAAAACACACGACACTAGTATCGAACGCTCACGATTGGTTGATCATGTAGTGCAGTGCTGCCATTTGTGGACGAACATCGGTATTAAAGTTACCGCTATTTTTAGTACTGACACTTGTAAACAGGTGGCGCCATCACGTTCAAAATGGATTATTTTCTCCTATTTACACGGTTTATTGATTAATTACACAGCAAATCAGAATAATAAATGTACAAGAGAAGAATCGTTTGTGAGAATCGCGTCAATTCACTTGGACGAATTGAACGTACAGTCTATAAATCGATAAATTCATTTTTCGACTTTATTCTGAAAAGTTTTTTCCACCACTTTGCATCAATGTTGCGCTGGTATTTCAGAAAATTTTCATTTGCAAAAAGATTCAATTAGGGGAAGTTATTTGTCAGGTTTTTAATTGCGTCTCTAGAATTGGGCCCTCAACTTTCTTCCCATTCTACTTAGGAATCCATATAATGGAAAAATAAAGATTTACAAATTCTATTGAATAGGTTGAACTAATCGTTCAAGTAATTGCTGAGTAATTATCAATTCTTATAAATTACATACGAAATTTAGATTAAAGTTGTTTGTAAATATATGTAGAAAGCTCTGCGCCTGTTTTTGAACGTGAATTTTTATTCAATCGATCGGTTGTTAATCGTCATGTCATACTACATACTAATACACCAGAACATGAACTTGAGCATGAACTTTTTTGCTTTTATTAATCGTCATATAGACAATCGGTCTTGATTCTCCGTCTGATTTGCTGAAGTCTTAGTTCAAATGAAAACTGTAATTGTTGAACTGATTTTTTAGCAAATTATTCATTTATTTAACTTGTCGAATTGGCTATACTAATATTCTCTTTCTTACAGTGACAAATTTCACAACATGGTATCAATTACAGTTAAATCTTTTCTTGCATTCGCTACAGGAGAGATGCGCCGTTTTCTTCATGTTGCATTCAACTGAAGGTTCATTTATATTACTTTTTTTTTTTTTAATGCATTGTTTTTATTATTTTCACATACTACTTACATTTTTTATTCACCTTTTTCAATAACATATATTATGTCTTTATTGAATATAAATTACATTTTGAATCCAATATAACACTGAACAATATCTAATATATGTATACATAATATTCAATGTGCTTCTTACAGTTAGGTTAATTGTAGAGTAAAAGTATTGCAACAACTTGAATGATATTGTAAATAAAAAAGGGAATTAGAAATAAAATCTATGCAGTCGCAGATCGAATCTGGAACAGAATTGCTTGGGAGATTGAATAAAAAATCAAGTCTGTGTGGGCTAGAAGATACCTTATTTTTCAAAGGCCCTCTGTGCACAGATATTATAGAAATTAGTGGAGTAAAGTCATCCGGTAAGACTCTGCTTTTGTCTCAAATGCTCGCAAAATGTATCTTACCGAATTGTCATGAAATCAAAGGCTGTAATGCTTCAGCTGTTTTGATAAATACCGATCATCATTTTCAAATATCAAAATTAGTAGAATTGATGAGCAATATCGCAAATGCAGTTAATACGGTATCATTTACAACTGATACAGTTGACGTAAAGTTTGATAAAATAGCTGTCATTAAAAATTCTTTGCGTAACTTGCACGTCATTAATTGTTATGACAGCGAACAATTTGCTGTAACGTTACGTACATTAAATAATATCTTCATTGAAAATACCAAAATTGCTCTTCTAGCTATTGACAGTATAACGGCATATTATTGGCAAGATCGTGAAGATAATCACATCACAATTAATGCATACGTGAAGAATTTGTTACAACTTATCAGAACGCATACAGCTCAATTTAATGTAGCAACAATATACACTAAATTATATGAAAATATTGATAACAAAGGGAAAAAACTTACGGATAATATAAATTATAGAATACGCCTATGTAAGACATGTGATTCGAAAAATTTTATATGTACATTAGAAACGACGCAAATTGTTAGGAAAATACATTATTCTATTTTATCCAATGGTATAAGATGGAAGATGGATGAAAAATAAATTCCAGTAAAAAAGGAAAATAACTAAGAAAAGAATATTTTATCCACTATATCTAAAGGTTTTAACAATCTAGATCCTGCTAACGTTATACGTGGCAATTTCTCGTTATTATTTGCCGATATTACTTCTTGAATTATTTTGGCCTCTTCCGCAGTAATACCTCCAACGATGTATATTAAAATAAAAGAATTATCTCGAGGATGACGTTTCGTTTTGCCTCTTAAAATTAGACTGCAATGAAAGAGGATTCATAAATTTTTAATATTTAACGTCATATTTTCAAAAAATTCATTATATGAATTGTTTAAAAAGAAGAAGTTTTACTTAAACCCAGCTGAAATAAATGAAGATGACTTTTTATGAAGATCCCGTAGTTCTCTGCTTATGTTTACACAAAATATATCCTTGGTAATTTGTTCTAAAATACTAATATGCCGAGTTACCTCTTGAGAACTTGATGTCAACATGCAAAATCTACAAATAATTATTACTTTATTCATACAATTTTGCTTGAAATAAATAATGTTAACTATTTGGAGGAAAAAATGCCAGCATAGATAAAATAATGCATTTAATATATGAAAAACTAAATCAAAGAGAACAAGTTTTTATTTAGAGACTTTACCTATAATCTTGCAGCGTTAAGCGTTGTTCCGCGATTAATCTTAAAGTATCGAGAATACGTGCTGCAATCTTGCATGATGCTTCTTGCGCTGCAACATCGTCCGTTCCTAACGTAAAAATAATTGGCAAATATAATTTTTAAACATCTATTTTAAAATGACAGGCGTCTCAATGTATATATCTAACGTACATACCTAATAACAATAAATTACGTTGATAAGCTGATTTTGTATTTGTCAATGAATTTTTTTTTAATGTTTCGAGGTCTTCAAAAATTGCAACTGCAATTGACTCTTCTAATCGACGTTCTTGTTGCGTAGAAAACCGAATTTGCGTTCCCGCAAGTGCATAAACATATACTAGTAATGCTAACAAATTTTCGATATCAAGTCCCCTGTGAACTCGCGTTCGTATAATATTACTTAACTGAAAAATTGTTTGATTTATATTTAATAAATGATTAGTAAATAACAGGAATTGAAGAATAAATGAAATTGAAAAAATGATTACCTGTACAAGTATACTCGAGGATTCTCGACTAACAGAAAGATTTTGCAGAGCTAATTTCTCTAAGCTAGTAAGTAGCTCAATCTGATCAGCTTTTTGTGACGTAGATGCTTTGATTATTGCTAAAATGCACTATATCTCAAAATAAAAAGAAGGTAGCTGTAAGATATGTGTCGACTGTTCACATAAAAGTACAGAAATTAAAAATTAAAAAATTACCTGAAGTTTTTCCATATCAGCAATCGTAGAATCAATGCTGTTCATAGATTGAATTTTGTTAAGAACTTTTTCTAAACTGTGACCAGAAATCCTCGTTGGTGTTCTTAGTTTTGGACTATCTTTTATTAAAGTCATATCGTTTAAAAATTGATTAACTGTACTTAGCAACTTCTTTTCTTTTTGTGAAATTAAAAGATCCATCATAGTATCTGCTATACTTGCTAAACAGCCAGGTGTTTCACACGATTCTAATATTTCCTTAAAAACCATGAGAAATGTAATTTATCATTTATATCTAAATAAATTAACAAACTAAATATGCCGCTTAAATGATATGGATCACCCAATAATAAGCTATTTATACATACTGTTACTGTTCCGAATACAGGCGATATATTAACAGCTACATCATTGTCATGATGCGGTAAATGAGGAAATGTCCGCAGTATTTTTGCAAGAAAAGATTCTGTATTATTACTAGTAGGTGTACAAAGGTCTAATGTTCTATCAATCAAAATAAGAGAAACTCCTATTTCTGGAGTTTCTGATAAATGCTGTAAAAATTTATTGTTTAACTTACTTGTGTTCATTTATTTTCCAAATAAACAAGGACTTTTTTTTTACTTGCTACTACTTACATTTCGATGATTAACACTAGATGTATAATTTTCCAAATTTTCTGCAAGAAGATCGCTTAATTTTCCAATTGAATAAATATCTAATTTAACTCCTATACTATCAAACAGGTTGTAAAATGAATATGCTAAAAGATTCAATTTAACTAATGTGTCTTTTGAAATATTAATATCCAAAGGTGGCATCAAATCTCCAAAAGGAGGTGTCACAAACAGGTTCTTATTTAAAAGTGCAATAAAAATTGGTACATAGACGATATTAACAGCAGGTTCCTATAAAATAAATATGTTTTGATTGTAACTGAAATAAATTTTAAACAAATTTAAAGACAAAATAAGTAATGGATTAACTAACTTGAGAAAGATTTCCTGAAGTCATCCAAACCTTAATATCTTTCTTCAATTTAATATAGTCTAATTTTTCTTCGACTGGTAATATTTCCATATTGTTGATAGTACTACAAGGCACGCTACAGTAAACGATACAATTCTGAAACATATTCTTTGCTAGTATCATTTTAATTGTACGCTGATAAAATGCTGGATCGCCAGATGTCGATATAATAACAGCTTTTTTGGTATTTTTCACTTCTGCGTACTAAAAATAGAATTGCATTTAATTTTTTCAAGAAACTTTATCTTTTTTTTTTCTTTTTTGTAATTTTATATACGAGGCATATATAAATACTTACTCGAAAATGATACATGCCAAATTCATAAACTGCAACTGCTCCAGCATCTTTTAATGCTAAATAACCTTTACCAGCTGTGTGCCAATGTAAACATTCGATTGCACAGTGATCTATATAAACTACTGCATTGCACACTTCTGCAAAGATATTTGTCCAACATTCAGAGACAAGTTTCTTAATTTCTAAGATAATATCTGTCATTCTTCTTAAGATGTCATTAACAATCACTTTCTCAACTTCTCATTATCTGTAACCTGTTTACAATAATATACAAATAAACTTTTGTCCAAGTGTTATTTTCAATATTCTACTGTATAAATAATACATATATGTGTACAACTATATTAATAGACGACAGTAATGAAACTGTAAATAGACAAATATTTAATAGAAAGAAATAATTAACCTAAAAACTGTATTTAAAACAGTACTTATATATATATATATATATATATATATATATACAAATGCATTCACGTTATTCGTATGCGCGAATATCTACGTAACAATATATGTACATACGTCGTGTATGTGTTTAGATTAGATTATGATGTTCCATTTCATATCACTTGTGACTTTACTATTCCTATATCTATATTTCAATTCAAGTTGATAAAATTTGAACGAGAAAGAAAAACTATCCAAAAAGAAAAACGAATGAGAGATGAGAAAGAAATGCATTTATAAAAACATGAAACTGAAAATTTTTGCACTTTAAATTCATGTTGTGCAAAAAAATTTTGTAATTTAAACGAAAAAAAAATTTATACACATACACATCTGAAACAGTCATTTTTGCTCAAACTTGTTTACACGTTAACAAACAAAGCTTTATTTTGAACGTAGGATATTCGTCTTCTGATGAGTTTATCGATCATTGATTCAACTTTCTAACTATCGTCGAGTAATTGAACGGTCATACGAAGATTTCGACTTCGACTTCGACTTCGACTTCGACTTCGACTTCGATTTAAAGTACAGACAAGTACAGCCATTTGTCGAAGGAAATTCTAACCTAGCGAGGAAAATGATTGTGCGTCGGTGCGAATGTTGTTTCGAGATAAAAGGGAGAACAGTAAAAAAACTGTGATTCTGCGAGCAACGCGTAACTACCGATTTTAGAAATAACTGAATCGAATAAACAAGATTTAAGCTATCGTCAGTTTAAAGAGAAATAGAATTGTAATCAAAGTGATTACTCGAAATTCTTCTCTAATATTTTCTAACAATCGATTATTCCCTTCTAGCTTCTCTAAATATCTCACTTAAACAAGAAGAATAAAAGTTATCGTATTGATCATCATTGTACACAGGTATAGTTCTTGTATAAAATTAACTACAACGCAGTGTGATAAGATGCAACAACTGATACATAAGTATTTAAGAAAATTTGACACATTAGTATATACGTACGTAGGATCAAAGGAGAGAGGAAATTTAAAATTGTTTCACGACGCTCGTTGTTATCCTGGGTATGCGTAGTAATGTCTTCGGCAAACAGTGTAGAATCTCTAGGAACGCTACAATGGGATATAATCGAATTAGCCAATCATTTGCGTCAGGAACGCTTGTTTGTTACTTCAGAGCAACAAAATTTGCAAATACTCAATGAGAAAGTATGTAACTATTGAAAACATATTAATTTCTAGTAAGACGTTTGTCCAATGAGACAAACAAAAAATTAAGTGAATTGTTTTTTAGGTATTATATGCGTCGTCTAATTTGGCACAACAAGCATGGATCACAGCGCAACAAAGAGTTAATCTCAATCAACTGATAATGTCTAAACCATACTGTACACCGGCATCTTGTTGTCAACGAGCAAATACATTGGAAAATTCAAACTTTATCGATGTGTACAAGTATTTACGTTATCAAACGTGTTTGTTGTACGGGGAATTCTTAGGTGCTCTTAGAAAGTCTCCGAAACTACTTGCGTTGTGTTTGGTCGAGGGGGATAAGTTATTACCAGACTCTGTACAAACTATAGTTCAATCGTTAGCAGCTGGTTTATACGGTAGCTGTTTGCTACCGGAGGATAAAATTTTGGTTTTAAAGTTACTGAAACATCTAATGCTGCTACAAATTGTACCATCTGACAATCCTCGAAGATTACTCAGACACGGCACGTGTGCTTTTTCTAGGTTTTACTCAGTTTTTCATGAAAGTCTATTTTCAGCCAAGTTTTTCTTAACCGCTGCTTTGCATAATCCTATCGTACAGTTATTAATGGAAGATGAAATGTTTCTCGATATTGACCCAGATAAAGCACCCATAAGATTTCCTCCGTCTGAAAGATTAAAAAAATTTGGCAAAGAAGGTACTGCAGAGTATGAAATGAAGCTGCAGCGTTATAGGCTGTGGACAATTAATTCTCTGTTCCACATTACGCAAAGATTTATCATCAGTATACGGGAAAATATGCATTGTTTTCCAAGCAGTGTGTGCTGGCTGGTTAGACAGATGGCAGGACTATTGGGGAAAAGTGGAAATGTTGACTCGAAAGAGGTACATGCAATGTGCACTGATTTGGTTTTTACGTATTTCATATGCCCTGCGATAGTAAATCCAGAGCCATATGGTATCACCGATGCGCCTATTAGCTACGTTGCTCGATTCAATCTCATGCAAGTTGGGCAAATTTTGCAAATGCTTTCCTTAATGAAATATCAGACTGTCGATAACAAAACGTTCGATCTGTACAAGAAATTCGATAAGGATTCCGTTTCTTCTATAATAGATGTAATGGTGGACGGTGCAACGGAAGAACTCGAGGACGAACCTAATATCATTGATAATAACAAACTTCGAGGTCTTTCTCGCTCCGCCGCTTTATTCACAGAAACGGAATTGAATACATTGATTATGTTTCTACAAACTATCGCTACAGAGGCTACGGTAGATATCGCCTCACGATCCGCCGTATTTGACAAAAAACAACTGATCGATATGCTCTCTCAGTTACCTTCCGGTTCCTTAACTACTAATAAATTGGTTAACAATGTTTCTGTCGAAACTACCAGCAAGAAGGGAGGTCTCTTAGGCAAAGGTAATTACGTCCAATCGTTGGTAGACTTTATTCAGATCTTTACTCATTTACAAAAAATTTTAAAACGTAAAAATAACTCGTAATATTTAATGGATAAAATAATTATCTATCGAGATCTGTCATTATTTAAATTATTTCTATAAAAATATGAAATTGCACAAATGATTAAATACGTTTCATTTGATTCTTGATAATATAATTAAGTGTGCATGTCTCTCGAGTGTCAACATATTTTTGCAAATATATGTGTATATATATATATATATATATATAGGGTTCTTCATAAAATTCATTATTCTTTTTAAAATGAGAAACTTCCAAGTATAATTTTTTGAACAAAGTCATTAGAGTGAATTGCTGATTAAAGAAATAGAAAGTACTATGATTCGCTATTTAAAGAATAACAACAAAAAGTAATGAAAGAAATTAAATGTATCAAAAGAAGGAATTAAATAAACGTCAATTTTTTTCAGGAAAGGGTCGAGGAGTGCGAGTATCGTCATCGTCGTCATACTCGTCTAATACGACTAATGACGGGGGAGATGAATTGAATGGTACCTCGACTCCTGAAGAAGAATCTGTTGATAAAAATCGTCAAGATGTTCTTGTAATTCCATTTGGTCCGAATACTGGAGAATTCGTAGGACTTCTTAGTGAACAGAAAGTACGAACATTTTAAATTGCCAATTTAACAATAAGCAACTATTTGTTTATCCCAGCGACAAGTGTTTAATTTTCCTTTTTTTATATATGACAGGTATTGTGCACAGAACTTCAATCCAATATGGATAATCATTCGGTGAATCTGAATCTTTCTGATGATATATCTAACGTGCATGACAGACGAGAGAACTGCGATGTTGAACGTACTGAAAATCAAGAGAAAAAGACTAGATTTTCGCTCTCCCATGATGAAGGTATTGAAGTATTAGAACTTTTTAAATTCAAACAATATGCGTACGTATGTATATGTAAGAATGCAATGCTGTATTGTACAATGAAAGAAGGCTAAAATCAAGCAATCGTGTAATAATATTTTGTGTATATGTACATGCATATATAATAAGCGTAGTTAATTTGTGTGTGCGAATATGTGCAGTGCGAATATATGTAGATGCACTGTGATTTAAATTTCCACAATGATCTAATTTAAAAAAAAAAATTTATTATTATTATGAAAGAAAATAGGTGCAGAGAGTTATCATTAACGTTGAAAATGTTATTAGTTTTATTCGAAGGTTTTATTGGAAATACTTCAGATAATTTGGAAGCGGTATCAGAAGCTGCTTCAAATCATAGTGTCGCTTCCTCGCTCGAGTTGGAAACGGAGGATCAAAATGATAATCTCTCGGATATGGTATCTGCCAGTGTGTCGGGACGAGGAACGCCCAATATATCAGGTTTTGTTAAATTGTTACATTCCATTCGAGAATAATGAAAGAATAATGAAAATTAGATCGAATAATTTTAACAATTGAATCTGTAGGTCGTGATACCCCGTCATCTCAAATTACCGAGGGTGACGAAGGACGTACAGTGGGTGAAACTCGGCAACTAGATTTACCTCCGTCAAACATAACAACCAAACAAAGTCGATCCGAAATAGACGACAAGTTCTGCAAATTCGAGATTAAAAAATTAATTGAAGGTATTTAAGAAATAAGAAAGAGATCATTTGCTACGAACGTACGATATACCTAAAGATTTGATCCTGTATTCGAATGTTCGCACGCGTGTATTTCCAGGAGATGAAACTGTTTCAATGGTATCGGATACCTGGTCAACGGATGTTCTTGCTTCGGATAGCGAAATAATTGAGCAACAAGAGAAAATATTATATCCTCCTTCGTCCGAGCAAACTCCTCCAGTTTTACCAACAACGTCGGAATCAGTACCGCAAGCTGTACTAGATGTTAGCGAAACTGCATCGGAAGCGTGGAGCACCGATGTATTGGCTAGTGATTCTGAAAGATTGACGGAAGTCGACACCGACGATACCGCTAGTGTTGCAAGGTACGTTTTGCAGAGAGTAGAGAGACGTAGGGAGGAGAAACGAAGAAAAAGAAAAAGCAAGTTGATGGCAACGTTATTTATTGTTATGTTTATTTTAGATCCGATGATACCGCGAGATCCGAAATCGAAGTTGAACCTCGAAGCGAAACTGAAACGACCGAGAAAACTTTGGCACAAGCGATTCCTCGTAAGGATAATCAATAATTTCAAATGCATGTTGTTAATCGTTATTCTCATTTTATACCTAATATCCAGTATTGTATGTATTGTGTGTCTAACTTTTAGAGAATGTTACGTCAACCGAATGTGTGTCAGCAACAAATCTTCAGTCGATGTTGATAAATCAAGAAAATATGCAATTTCCTGCGAATGTTGTCCTTTTGCCAACAACATCTCTATCGGCATCGTCTTTAAATGTAACTGGACAAAATGCAAGCAGTTCCAATTATCAGACAAGCATGACAGAATATGTTGATAAAAATGCTAATAGCATTGCCGATAGTTCGACTGATTATGGTAAATCCTTGTGCGAGGATAGATTAGTTCATCTCATAGACAAACTTCACATCGAGAATGGAAAGGGTCAAATGGAACGACAAATTTCTTCGACTCATAATCGTATCAGTGTAGCAGCTGTTGCGCCAGCTTTGTTGTTAGCCAATCATATATCACCGTCCATATTGTCGAACACAGAAAAGTCACACAATACCAACATGAAATCAGAGGTTTGTCTTTACTATATTATTATTATTCTTATTATTATTATACTTTTTCTATTCTATAGTTATTATATTCATCATCGTTGTCGTCCTCATTATAATTATTATTTTTATTATCTTCGTTTCTTTCGATATAATTGCACACTTCTATACAGCATTCAACCGATTGTTTAATAATTACGGCATAGTTAATTTTCGAAGCGTGTTTCAGTCGCAGGAATTGGAAAGTAGCTTAGTCAGTTCGATTGACGAAACTGTTAACGAAAGCTGCCCGGACGGCGTTGTCGGATTAAGCACTGGTAGCTTGACATCCAGCAGTAGTTCTGGCTCTGAGACACGAATGAAAACTACAAATTCGATATTACCATTATCGGCGGGAACGATGAATGAAAATTGCGACATGACAATGAACGATTGTCCGAAACCAACTGTATCCAGCGGTGCCATACCAAAAAGTATTAGCTTCGATATGACTGCGGAGCGCGGAGACAAGGAATTGTTGGACGATGATCAGAAAAATAAAAGAAGTTTTTTTGGAAAATTGAAAATGTCCCTGCGAAATCGCCGTGGTAAGGTGGTTCGTGGTACAGACGACATCGGCAGATGTTACGATCGAGAAGCCATGGGTGATAATATTGACATAGGGAGGCATAGATTACGTAGAATAATGTCAGAAGATGTGTCATCAACTGGTAACGCAAACGGTGGTAAATATTGTTTTCTTCGACATTTCGTTTATTACATGATAATTGCTACTAAGAGCTAAAACGAAGGATGGGAATAGAAAAAGAGACACAACAGACAACGGGGGGAAAAAACGGGTTAATTTTAGTGTAATGAAAATGATTTAAAAACTTTCTAGATAGTACGGACGATATTTTGGCTAAATATAGGAGGAAACCAAGTACTGCAAGCGACACAGAAGCATCTGTAGAAAGTAATCAATCTCGTATAAAAGAGCCTACCGAAGATGAAAGGCTTCTTATAGATCCGAATAACGTTGAACTTTCCTACGCGTTTTCTGATGCAAAAAGAAAATTGAGAATGGTACTTAGTACCGCTGATCTTCAACATGTTTCTTGGAGTGCTATATCCGAGGTGCTATAGCTTCTAATCGTATTGAACAGTTTACAGAAAGTGAAATTGGAACTGAGTGAATACTAACAGAAAAAACAACGGCTTGCTTGTTACAGAGGAATTATTGGTCGCAAAAAGAAAATGAATTAGTCGCTTTCCTGCAGTTGCAATTGGCAGAAGCTATTAATTTACAAGACAGAGCGTTGATAGCGCATCTGCACGAAACATTACGTTGTGTTAGATTATTCAACGACGACGGTTGTAGGAAATTATTCAAATCATTGCGTGACGATTATCAAAAACGATCGCCTTATATCGCATATTTGATCAGATGTCGCCAAGGATTACTTTCTACATTGGCTCACTTGGATAGGTATAATTACCAACTTTTTTTTAACCCTCGTCTGTCCCTTTGTATTAATTTGACACATTTTTCTCGTAAAATGTCATATTATGTTATACGTACAATTTCTAACATCACATATTTTCGGTGTGTATAACGTATATTTTCCAACTTTAAAATCCAGCGTATGAAAGATGAGAAAGGACAAGGGTCAGTGTTCTTTTTTTGTAGCTCAATTCATCGATTAATGTATAAAAAAAAAAAAAAAACGTGATTCCATTTTGAGGAAAGTGGAGGACCTTAAGATCTCAAAAAATGCCTCCACTTGGACAAATCTAGTGGTCATCGTAAGATGCCCTCATTAAAAAAAAACAAGTTTGACTTGTACATCTGAAAATAGGAATTTGTGTGAACTTTACACGTAATTGAACATAGAAATTTAGTCCATTTATTGTCAGTGAAACAATATGCAAATTTAATTATTTAAGTCAAAGGACTGTGTCAAATTAAGTTAGAAAAATGAGGGACGCAAAGAGTTAAAAAGATAAATATTAATAACATTATTATTTATTATTATTAACATAATAATAATAAAAATTATGTTAACATCGCAATGAAATTTCAGATTATGTATTAGAGTAAAGTGTGATCGTGATGCTGTTAATAACCATCTCGTATCTGTTTGCGTAAGAGTTTTTTTAGAGAAAAAAGAGTCGCTTTTATTACGTTTTTGTGACGAATTTAAAAAATTAACATTGGCAGACGAGAAGCAAGATTTGGTTGATAGTTTCTTAGGCAAACTTAACGCGAAAATAGATAACGATCCAATTTGGCAATGTGAGTAAACATTAATTAATTTGAATTTAATACAATCAACTCTATGTGATAATAGTGTATTAATTATATAATGACTGTTTGCAAATTGATACAGGTGCGTGCGAAAATCAACTAAATTTGGCAAGAGTTGCAGTCGAAAGGACCGTAATGGCACGCGTTTACCATAACGCGCTTTATCCAAATGGCGATGGTGACGTTTACAGGGACCAATTACTTTATGATCACATTAAAAAACTGGCCAAAGTCGTAACACCGAACCACAAGGATTTACGAATTCCTAAAATATATCATTATGAATGTCCCTGGCCATGGGCTCAAGCGGAATTAGCTGTGATATCAGCATATAAAACGCCTAGGGATAAGCTGCAATGTGTTTTTCGTTGTGCTACCACAATCATGAACCTGCTTTCAATGGCAACTGAGAGAGGAGTACCTGCAGCCGATGATTTAATTCCTGTATTAGTCTACGTTATTATCAAAGCAAGTGTTTTATCCCATTCTTTTCCTTCGGATTTACACGCGTATATATAGATTGTTAATACTCGGCACTAAGGATAATAACAATTTCGTCAATTATATTTTCAGACCAATCCGCCGTCCCTGCTTTCTACTATACAATACGTGGATAGTTTCTACGGGAATCGATTAGGCGGAGAAGAACAATATTGGTGGACGCAGTTTTGCTCCGCGATTGAATTTATAAAGACTATGGATTAAATCACATCTAGTTATATAAGTTATCTCTGGAACATGTAGAAATAGTGTATCATAATTTTTGTTGCCTATCGTTATAATCTTACAATAATTTTTATTATTAGTACTACATTAGTACAGTTGTAATATCATCCTTCACATTATTTCCTTTCGTGAAATTGTAATTCTTTTCAATATCTTTACAATCGTCGTATTATTTCTAAAATTACTTCTACTATTGTCACTTCACTGACAATGATGTTTCTGTTAATTTTACTACTGTTACCACATTGCTACCGTCACTTTCATTATCACAAATATTTTGTTAATTCTAAATATCAATTATTGTCATCGCGATTACTATCATCGTCACCATTATTATTATTTATATTATTAATATAATAATAATAATTTACTAATAATAATGATAATAATAATAATAATTGTTGTTGTTGTTGTTGTTGTTGTTGTTATTGTTAACATTGATAATCTTAAACAGTATGATAATTTACATTACAAAAATTATTGGTATTACTAGAACTATTATTTTAAATGTTTTTTATTTCGAATTATTGTATACAACAATAATTTCTAAATATAAAAAATAATTTTAGTTATTCCTTTGAAACCTTTTTAAAATCATAAGCAAATTAATATAATAAGAAATATATCAATTTTTTTGGTTTTTTTATTATTTACAAGAAATTGATATTTTTTTCAAAAATATAGAGACGTCAAAGGATGTTTCTACAATGAATCATAATCCGTGAATGGAGAGTAATCACCTGAAACATTATATTATTATATATATGTATAGTGATTATTTGTACATACGTAGTAGCAAAGTTACTGAAAATGAACTGTCAAAATTTATATTGCAATAAAAGTTTAAATTGCCGTATAAAGTATAAATATATTTAAAGTTACTTGTATTAGCAAATGAGATAAATTACATAAAAATATTTTGTTATATTATGTTACTAATTTAACAATGTATAAAATATATTTGGTCAAATTTCAATAAGTTTAGTATAGGAGCATGAATTTGTTGAAGTGGGGGGAAAAGAAGCAGTCATTCGTAAATGCACAACAAAGAGAAACGCATCGCAGAAATTATTTAAACACATGTAGTATGTGCTAGTATAATATCATACACTGTATAGTATTATATCAAATATAAATAATTTAAAGTAAAAAGCGAGGACTATTTAAGTAAATAATACAAAATGTCAAGACGTCCAGAACATTTAGCCCCACCAGAACTGGTAAGGATGAACTTTTAAATTGATTGTGAAAACTAAATTTTGATCTGTTTTTTTTTTCTTATTGCAGTTTTACGATGAAAGCGAAGCTCGTAAATATACGAAAAAGTAAGATTTCTATTATTATGGTATAGATTTAGGTTAGGTTTAGGTTATGTCTAACTTTACTTTAAAAGTTTAAAAATTATTCACTTTTTTGTTTCTAGTAATCCAGTAGATTTCGACGAACTGAGATCAAAAATGCAAGATTTAAAGCGACAAACATATTGGTTTAAAAGTTGTATAAAAATGAGCATTTTTAGCACAGCATAATGTTATTGGTCTGTTTAGACAGAAACAATGTTTACGAAAATTTTTGATAATTTAAAAGTTAAAACTTAAAATATTTTCAATACAATTATTTAACGACCAGTCTATATGAACTTCCAATCCAAACACTGTTTCTAAAGTATAATATTGTATTTTTAGAAGGAATGCTATGTAGGTAATGTAAGAAATGACAAAAAATGATAAACAATATACTAAGAACGTTTTTACTTTTACAAGTTACAACGTTTGATTTTTGCATTTTTGGTCTAAGCTCGTGGAAATTTGCCAGATTACCAAGAAAGAAAGGTAAATAATTTTTGATTACCTAAAATAAAGTTCAGTAGTGATATATACTCTGACTTTAAGTAAATGTAAGTAAATTTGTTTTCCCTAGTTCTCGAATGATAGATATACAGAATCAAATGTGTAGACGTGCCATAGAACTTCTTCTACTGCCAGAGAATACAACGCATTTACTCTTAGATATTGGATGTGGTTCCGGCTTAAGTGGCAGTGTAATCAAGGAATATGAACATGAATGGATAGGGATCGATATATCTTCTGCAATGCTTGGCAAGTCTTTGAAAATCTGATATTTTCCACAAGATGTATTTACATAATTTTAATTGTGTATGTATTCGACAGGTGTGGCATTAGAAAGGGAGGTGGATGGAGATTTGATTTTAGGGGATATGGGTCAAGGAATGCCATTTAAAGCAGGAACTTTTGATGGAGCAATTAGTATTTCTGCATTACAATGGTTGTGTAACGCAGATAAGAATTCTCATGATCCACCAAAGCGATTATATAAATTTTTTTCTACTCTATTTTCATGTTTGTCGCGATCAGCCAGAGCTGTGTTTCAATTTTATCCCGAAAATAGCGAACAAATTGAATTAATTACAACACAAGCAACAAAAGCAGGTTTCTATGGAGGTGTTGTTGTAGATTTTCCAAACAGTACTAAAGCAAAAAAATATTTTTTGGTTTTAATGACCGGTGGAACTACTGTTCTTCCAAGAGCTTTAGGTGTTAATGAAACTGATTCGGTTGTCCCATACGCATCTAGAAGGTTAGTTTTAATTTATGTTACATTGTTTGTTTGAAGGTTTATTTTAATTTGTTACATCTGATTCGATTTTTAATACTAATACTATTATTCAATTTTCATTGATCATTTTTTACTGTTTCAGAGAACAGATGAAAAAAGCTAAAGGTAAATACCTGAAGAATAGCAAAGATTGGATAATTGAAAAGAAAGAAAGACGTAGAAAACAAGGGAAGAAAGTCTCAGAAGATTCAAAATATACTGGAAGAAGAAGATGTGGAAGATTTTAACAAATCTGTTTTTTGTGAATACTAGACTTCCGACATCGAGAAAATAAGTATTTATGTATAAAAATAATTTATACATAAAATATTTTTTATCTTTATACTTAAAAAGGAAATTATTTACAAAATCTGTATTTTCGATACGGAATTAGATTACATAATTGTGTAAAAATGTAAGAAAGTAATAGGTAAAATGAATAAAAAGCTGTCGATAGTTAGTGCAATAGAAATTATGTAACATAAAGTACATATTAAATTAACATATTAGGAGAAAAATGTTACGTTAAGGAAATGAAAATTTATAATTTGAATATTTATTATACAAACAGATATTTAATCAACATTTCTTGCATCACACGTGTATTTAAAAATTCTCTACCTTGTGTAATAATTTAATCAGGTAATAAGAATTTGACCAAACTTTTATGAAGATTGGGATGTAGGTTTTTTTTAAGTTCCTCTCTATCTAACCAACAATGCTTTATATCGGAAGAAATATCTCCGCTTATATATTTTGCTAAGAAATAAAAAATTTTTGCTCCATTTTGGCCTCTCTCTTGTAAATTTTTAGGATATTTATATTGATAAAATCCAATTGGTGCATTACCATAAAATTTGACTTTGATGTTATTTCCACATAATTCTTGTATAGTTCTATGTGCAGTCTAAGGTCGTGGAAAGAAATATCGTTCTGATAATTGAACTACTACTCGTAAAATAAAAACAAAAAACATTATATAATTCTTACTTGTATCATAGTTTCCCTGTGTTTTCTTATACTTTGTGGAGGGATCCAGAAATTGGAATCACCTATTTTTTGTTCTACTAGTAATACTAAATTTTTATCCAATTTTCGTCTCAATGACACAACCGCGTTATCCTCTTCATTTTCTATAGTTTGAGCAAATTAAACATAAAGACCAATTGCAGCTAAATCATTTAAAATATCAAAATCACAGGGATACATACTGCTTATTCTCTCTGCGAATTTAAAGTTTGTAAATTCCTCTTTCCAAGAATCTTCGAGATCTTGTATCGTCTTTCGATTTTTATTGTTTTGCTTTTGCATCTCAAAATCTGATATCATACTATTCTCAAGCTCCACCTGTTGTAGCATATCGTGGAACCTCGTTTCTATATCCAGCATAGATTTTGTAATTACTGGATGACGTTCTAAACAAACAGCACTTAACAAGTCCCATTTTTCCACAACGTCTATGTCTATATCTGTGTTTTGTTCTGATAATGTTCGAGATATAACCTTGGATGTTGATGAAATACCTGTGTCAAAGCTTTTCTTCAAAGGATTATTTTAATAGGATTACAATGCAGTAAAATATATTCGATCAATTTTCAAGAGGATAAAACTATTTTAATTAATAACAGATTGTTAAATTAAAATAGAACGTACTTGTCGTTAAGGAAGTTAACCTGCTCGGTGTCCGTAATGTTAAAATTCTCTTGAACATCATTGTTCCATTCTTTGATATAAGAAAAGAAGTTAAAAGTATATTCTTAAATTAAAGAATAGTAACGATAGGAGAAATATTCACAAAACCATAAATAAGATTAACAGTAGAGAAGCATTGCGCTTGCCGACAGCTACCATCTTTAAATTATGAAATATAAAGCTGAATATATTGATACTGTAGCTACTGTAATTTATGTCGCGTTCTCATGACTACTTTAATACATATATTTATTTCTTCTTTACTGACGATCCGATATTATTCAAAGGATTTCTTTCAACGAATTTAACACGATAGAAAAGATTGACATGATATAACGGCGGAAATAACTTCATATAATATCGAGCGCATTTTTCTATGCTTTTAGCATATTTTCTTTTAATCCCAATTGTTGATGTTTCATGAACACTGTGGTGTGATGTCGATCAATTTACGATGTAATGAAAAGAATTGATATCGTCGCATTTTGCAATAGTCAGCATAAAATCAAAGAGTAAGTTGTTGAAATGTATATGAAACAAGAAATTTTATTGTTATTATTATTATTATTTTAATGATTTTTTTATTATATAAACAACTACGAACGACCATCGGACTTAAAAAAAATGATGTTATTATACTGTTTGTTCGACGAACACAAATATTATTTTTTTCTTACTGTATGAAATCCTACAGGTGAGAAAAGTCTGATATAAACTGAGTGTATGTTTCAAAGGAGGAATGAGCTTTATATAATAAAGATTTTGAAGTGAAAGAAAAGAGATAATTTACGTAAAAACCTAGTGATCAACATGATTGATCCGGATTTACCAGAGATACCATTACCTCTGAAAAGTATACAGCACTATTTAAAGATAGCTTCAAATCATGACCAACGAGATCCTGTTGTTAGTTATTGGTGTATGTAAATTATCATACAAAGAACAATTGTTATGGATAAACACGACTTTGAATTTGGTATTACCAATTTTTGTTATAGGTCGATTATATGCTCTTCAAACAGGATTAAAATTGTCAACCAAAACGCCAAAAGAAACAAACTTTTTGATGAAATTGATGGATTGGTTAGAAACAACTAAAAAGGAATTACACGATAATGAAGCTATTACAAACGATATAGCCGCTCAGGCTCATTTAGAGAATTGGGCATTGAAGCTCTTTCTTTTTGCAGATAAAAATGACAGAGCTGGTAATTTTGGAAAGAATGTAGTGCAAAGCTTTTTTACAGCTGGATTACTTTATGACGTGTTAACTGTGTTTGGGGAACTCAATGAAGAGGCTACGCAAAATAGAAAATATGCCAAATGGAAGGCTGCATATATTCACAATTGTATAAAGAACAATGAAACGCCTATTCCAGGACCCATGCAAGAGGGTAATGAAAATGCTGATTTGAATAAAAATATGGAAGAAGGTAAAAAAAAAAAACTAATATAATGGCATGTAAAAAAATATGTAGATATAGAGATACATGCATGTATATTTGCATATTTGTATAATTGTGTGTCATACTTATTTCTTTTCATAATAACAAAGACTTACAATTATTTTCTAATATAACGAAATAAATGAAATTTATCGTTTTATTTTCATTTCATCTTTTTTATGACAAACTTGGTGGTAGCAGAAGCAAAAAGAGAAGATGCATTAAACACAGATGAATTAGATGTTACTTCTAACCCATCTGGTACAATACATGGTACAACAGTTAAAAAGAATATGGATGAATGGTCTTCGGATAATAAGGATTCCAATACCATTCCAAAAACAGAAAGTAAGTTGAGAAAAAGCGGTTCAACAAAATTATATATTATTGCATTAACTATATGTATTTAATAGGTGGAGCTGAACTGTCAGTGGAGGAAATCGGTAAAGCACAAAAATTTATTAAGTGGGCCGGAAGTGCTTTAAATTATGACGATGTACCTACAGCTATATTGAATCTTCAAAAGGCTTTACATCTTTTAACCACTGGTCAAGAACCAGCATGATTAAAATTAAGCTTGAAAATATCGATGAAACAGTAGCGTAAATACGATTTAATTGATGCAAAACGTAAAAATAATAAGTTATTTATTTGGATTGTTACATTATTACAGCCACGCCAAATTAAAGATATTTTTGAATTTTAGATTTGCCTTATAAAGGTGTCTAAAATTAACATTATTATTTAAAGTTGTTATTACCATAATGATTGATATAATAATTTCGAAATATACATATATATATATATATATATATATACACATACATATATACATGCGCATATGCATGCATACGTGTACACAGGCATGCATACATGCGCGCGTGTACACACACATTGTTGAATTTTATACGACCGAACAAATTATCGTACATTAATAAATAAGATTTTCACGTAAGACAAAAATAATAATAATAATAATAATAATAGTCTAAAACAGACTTTGATAGAATCAGAGTGACAATGAATTTTTTTTCTATTTTAGTCGAACGTGTTAAATTATTTAGTTTTTATAATGTGTGCTAATAGGTGGGTGTACAAGATTCTTGAATGGTTTCTTCATAATTTCGCGTAATTAATATTTTAATGTTGCAACAAAAGTATTACTGTACATTCACATGAATATGCTTTACCACGTGTTTCTTCGCTATCTTTATTTTTGTATTACAATACCTCGCAGATATCCTCCACTTAACTCATTATCTTTATTGATCGTGAACTTAATATTTGAAAGATAAATATACAATTGACAAATGTTACACGTTGTTCTCCTTATAAAACAAATCGTCTACGACTACAAAAAAAAAAAAAAAAAAAATTAATTATACAAATTACAATAATGATTTAGTTTTAATTGCGGATAATATAAAGTTTGTTATTGCTTGAACTATTTGTACGAATAATTTTCAATTTGTACATTTTCATTCGGTTTTGAAATACGTGTTTTTCTTCTTGAAAAAGAAAAAAGTAAAAATATAGATACGAAGAAAGCACGCATGTGCGTTACAATGCGACATTGTTTCAGTTATCGTCCGAGGGCATTTACATCTCAATACGATATTAAGAAGAACACATTGATTTGAATGGCAGTTAATATTACATCTTATGCTTGAGCTAGTACTTCGTCATTCTTTGTCAACATTTATATAATGTTGGCTAATGATAATAGAAATTTATAGTTTTCGAGAATCTCAAAATTTAGAACGTTTTCTAATAAATTCAGGTGTTGTTAGCACAAAGAAATGGGTTGTCGTAAAACAACAACAGGGTTGAAGCATTGTTGAATATCGCGAAGTAAATTGAAAATCAAACAAAAGAGTTATTTGTCGCGTGTATGGAAAGTTAATTAGTTTTAACGCGATTATTTTACGCGATACGTTGTAGGCGATAACTGACATGATAATCGAAAGGATGTCTTAATCGTGCAAATACGTATTAGGAATTTCGAGTTCAATCTTGTTTCTTGGTTTTATCATCTACACCATTTGCCGTTATCGGTTTTGTGTCCTCCCGTCTCAGTTGCCAATCTATCACTAGTCTGCCCGTTAGCATGAAAAAGAATACCTAAAAAGAAAAAAGTGTACAATTACATTCGGGAAAAAACTTTTTATTATTTTAATATATTAATTTTTTCATTTACTTTATTTCTATCAATATTACTTTGATCTTACCAATGCTGGTGCAATCCTTTCAAACTTGTCGTTGACCATATAATGGGAGTACACAGCCATTAACATCAGTAACAATAATACTGCGTTTGATGCGTTTTTTATTTTATCTGGAAACAAATCGACATTTAGAATAATGTTTCCACGAGAGAAACCGCGCCACTATAACGTTAGTAATTTTATAAAAGAAAAAAAAAAAAAAAAAAAAAAAAAAAAAAATTTTTTAAAAAAAAAAAAAAAAAAAAAAAAAAAAAAAAAGAAAACGCAAGTGTGAGTGCCTCTCGACGATCGATCGAGAGTACAAAAATGTAGGCGGTGAGGACGAGCACAGAGTTCTCGAGCGTTCACAGGCCGAAAGCCACAGAGCACCAGCGTTTGTTGCATGCGTTCTGCAACATGCGTTCTTTCTTTCTCTTTTCTTTTATTTTTTCCGGACGTTAGGCAAAAGGAGAACCAAGGAACGGCAAAGAGAGAAAAGTATTAGTGGTATTTTATGTGAACAGGAAAGAGTAAATACAAACAGAGAGAATATATATATATAGAGAGAGAGAGAGAAAAAAAAAGAAAGAGAGAGAGAGAGAGAGAGAGAGAGAGTGAGAGATCACAGAGCGCACGAGGATCATACAAAGAGTGAAAGTACATGTGGCGTGAACAATATAAAACATATAGAAGAGGAAGAAGAAGAAGAAGAAGTCGATCGAGACAGTAATAATAATACGGCGACCAGGCAACGTCGACTCTGTACTCACGGCTGAGGCACCCTTGTCGCGGGTCGCGCAATTCGCAAGGCACGAAGCTGCCGCCGAATGACGCACCTTGTACGTCACGCCGACGCCGGCGTCGCTCTCTGCGTCTGAATCGCCCTGCCAAAACGATAAGCAATTCTACCCTTAGGTACTAATGATGGCCCACCGTTGCTGTCGACGATTTCGCACGCACACGCCGCTGCTCGACCGTGGTCTTTGCCATTTCGTATCGTTTTTTCTTTTTTTTTTTTTTTTTTTTTTTTTCTTTTAGCACAATTACTTTATGTACAGTATGTACATCATGTACATGCTCAGTACATGAGCTACTGCGTTTCTACCATCGCGTATACAAAGAGCTCAAAAGCCAGTCAGAACAAGTTTTTCTTATCTCCGTATTTTCAAATAAGAGGATACTGATACATAGCTATGTTCTTGAAAGGTCTTTATTTAATTTTTCAGACATCCATTTCAGATGCTCCAATAAGGATGTTAGGGGTTTTGAGTACTGTTGTACACGCGGTCCTAATTTGTTCGTTTGCCTGTTTTGATGTTGTAAATAAATGATATCATTTAAATTATTTTAAATTATAATATTATAAAATTAAATATCACAAAATTATAATACTATAAAATTAAATATTATAAAATTATAATATTATAAAATTAAATATTAGAAAATTATAAACTAATTTAATAAAATAATTTTAAATTATTTACGAATGGAGAACAATTTCAGTATACACTCTGCTCTGCACGTGTACACCAGCGAGAAAGATTTGGAAACAATGAGTTTTTCTATAATGAAAAAAATCAAGATTCCATTTTATCCGTAATCTGTGTTTGAATATATAGTATTTGTAAACAAATAGTCAAGAAAGTTTGTCAACATTTACTTGGAGAAACTTATAAAAAATACGGTTTTTTAAGATATATCGTTTAAACAAAAGGTTTTCTTGCAAAATAATATACATCATTAAATTCGTCGTAAGAAAATACTAATTTCATCGATTTACATAAAAACGGTATCTTCAATAATTCCCGAAATATTTGATAAAACATGTTTCGCATTCCCAAATCTGAGGATAGTTTTTATCCCTTCAGCATCGATCATTGCCGAGAAGAAAAATATTGGTCGAATATTTTTTTAAAAACTATTTTCATCTCAAATTTTATCAGCGATTCCGGCTTTGATACACTTGCATTCCTTCATTTTCTGTTAAAAGTGATTTGCATCTTTCGTGAGACAATGAAAATAGTTTTTACTGTGACGAGGACTAAACTGGAGATTTTAAGCATGAAAGGATGTTCGCATAGTGCAAATTGATCTTAATGGAGAATAATTTGTAGTGATTGGTTTTTGAGCTCTCAATATGTATGTTTTTTTTTTATTTGAGCTTCCTCCGTATTGAAAGTATTGCACAGGATGCACGTAACGAGCGATGGGTTCTCAAGCACGTGCCAATGAGAATTTGAATCGATTGGATTTGAATTCTTTGTAAGTGTTTCAAGAGACAGAACTAGATCTGAAGTGATATATAATTTGAAGCGAGCGTACGTTTGAAAATTTTATTTTTTAGGAAAACTGAAGAATTCTAAGTAGTACAAGTTCGAAATTTTACGAACGTTTTTATAATTTAATTATTTATTACTCGCAAGGGTTTCTATTCAATTATCGTAGGAATTTGTAGAAATTGTAGAATTGATTATTCCGAGGCTTAAAACTAATAATTTTCGAAGAAACTGTGAAATGGACCTTGAGCACCGAATTCGATTGGTACTTTGAAGTACATACAGAACTTGATCCCATCACTACTTGTAGCGAAATCAAGAAATATATTGAACAACAGTTAATCCGAAGTTGTGAAAGTTGTTATTTAACATTTTGTTATTTAAAGACTAGATATTGAGAACGAAACTTTGATTTATAGACTCGTAGTGTCAAATTACTACAAATTATAGACTTTTGATCAAATTAATTACAGATTCCGCAATGTTTCAAAATTGTTAAAAGCTTTCAATTTCAGGTGTAGAATCAATATTTCAAGTTTACTTTACTTATTTCGTGATTACGACACTTTTTTACGTAACATCTTGTACCTGCAACGTAATTTACAAATAAATTAAAAATTTTCGTACCAAAAATCTCATTGTCAAAACTTCAAGAAGACTAATGAATAATTCGATTGTTATAGGATAATATATATCTCATGTAACTCATGTTTATTCTTCTCTTCTCAAATGCTCATCGTAACCCAATGTATGTGTATATATATGTATGTATATATGTATATTTCAACAATATCATGAAAATATTGCAAATTGCTGCAAGATTGCTATATCGTCTATAAACTTAACATTAAACAATCACATTATATTAGTCTGTATACTATACTATATAACTAAGATCTAACAGTAGCAAATTGCAACCTTTGGTACATAAAAATTATCATACGAAACGAATCGTCATTTTAAATAAATACTATATCGTGAATCACCGTGTACTCGCAAAAAGAAAATTTTGTCTGTCAATCCAACGGAAGAAGCATTTCGATTTACACTAACAATAATAATAATAATAATAATAATAATAATAATAATGTATATATGTATATGTATATATATAATATTTCTAACACGATGCAGGCTCAAAGAAACGAACACGATCAGGATCGAAGGACGTGCTACGAGCATCGTTTGAACAAGATGCAAGAGCCCCTAACGCTTCTTTGTTTCTCATTGAAAGGGATCATAATGTTTCTAAGAGAAACGCTGCACGAGCTGACACCGGGATAGATACAGAGCAGAAGATAGAGCGGGAGTACAACCATGCGCTACTCACAGCCGCCATTCAAGAAAGTTGTTTCCTGCCCTTACGAATATATGTATATATAGTACACGAATCAATCAACTTATGATCAGAGTATTCGCTAAACGAGAATGAGTGACAGTTTCTTCTATTTTTTTTTTTTCTTTCTTTCTTTTTCTTTTTACTCACGTGAGACGTGTCCGAGACGGTGGTGTCCTGCGTTCTGTAAATACCGATAGGAATTTCGCAGGTAGTGGAACACAGTTTCTGATACAATCTGCCGTACGTTCTGATCCACATGTCGTCCTTCGTGATTCTCATCTGCAATTCAAGCGAACGACGAGGCTAATTTCAAGGCGGGAGCTTTCTTTTTCTCTTTTGCTTCTCGCGGGAAATTAAAATCTATCAGGTAATTAGAGGCGGGGATGTAATTAGACGAAGTTGGAACATGCAACTAATTATAGGGGGCGATTAAAGTTAATTGGAAGCAAAATTATCGCGAAACGCGTGTGAGGTAATTGCTTCGGCTCGATCGATATAACTATCGATCAATTGAGCAATCGTCGAAATTTTTCCTTTTAATAATTCAACTTGTTGTAATTATTAAAAGTGAACAGTATATACACGAATACATTGTTCTCCAATGATTCAACTACAATTAGATAGTGAAATAGATTTTCATTTTATTTCCTCTTTACATAAAATACGTCTCATTGTGAATTTCAAACGTGTGCAAATATTTTTCCGGTCATCAACCGGATGGACGTTTTTGGAAAGATGTTTTCGAATTTTTTTACCGATGTTAAAAATCCAGATCCTGGCGCTTGGTCCACACCCAGCAGCAATCTCACGAACGTTATCATGTAGTCTTTCACGAACGCTTGATAGAGAAGCGTGTCAAGCATGGAGGCACTGAAGACACTGCCAGCCGCGAAAGGCAATCGAAACATGTAAGATATGTGCGAGCCTCTCTCCTTTTCTCTCTGTTGAAACGATTGAAAAGCTAAATTACACTACTAAAGATCTCGTTGGAGAATTATTTCACCCAAAGTCGAGCGTTATTTTAGAAATTTGCTGCTGCAACAACTGTTGCAAAAATTCATTTAACCATCCTACAAGTGAATTTCTTTCAAGTAAGTAGAAAAATGTTATCTTTTGGCTATCTTTTCTTCGTATCAAAGGCTGAAGAAGAAAGGATTCAAGCGAGATTGTTCAGTTATTTTGTGATAATTATTTTAACTGGTGCAAACATATCTCTAAGTGCTGTTAGTTTTTCAAAATTGATTGCTTTTCTAGTGAAAGAGGACACGTGTGTTAGCGCGATGAAATTTTCTTCATACGTACTATAAGATAACAAAGTAAAGGTCAAGTGTACGCGCTTATGAACTCGGCAGGTCACGTTGTGCCAGAAGCGATTTTACGAATTATTGGAAATTTAGTTAACTTAACTAATACCTTCGGCATTGACGAAACTTAGATATAAATTTTCACTTTGATACGTTCTGCTTTATCCGATTGTATTTCAATTATTTCTCTTTTCATACGACATACAGACCAGGGCATAAATTATCGATTTCATAATTAACGGATTAATCGTTATCGAATAATCCATGCAGTAATAATTATTTATTTCGCCGCTTTATGAAAGCAATGAAAAGAAGTACCTTTTCCATTTTGCTGAGATGAAGAGCGTACTTGTCGTGTGCCCTGAATTGCATGAAGCGCATATTGCTCGATTGCGAGAGCTCCGTTATGCTTTTTATGCTAGGAAAGAACCTGAAAATTCATAAAATGTTACGCGGATTCGATAGCAGATCGAAGATGATATCGAGATGATATCAAGATGAAAATAAAGTGTAGATAAAATTATCAATTTCGGCAAAATTGTTCCCCTATATATTCCAATATTTCTATTTTTACGAATATCATTTCCTCGAGATACTGTGGCATACCAGTTACTGGTATTTGAACATATATATTTATTAATTAACATATATATATTTATATATGTATATTTATTAAAATATATATTTATTTATTAAAATAATATATATTTATATTGTAAATATAAACTATATATATATTATATAATAAATAATAAATAATAATTATATAATAAAATATAATAAACTACATATATTATATAAAAATATATATTATAAATATAAATTTATATTATAAACATATTTATTTAAATATACATTTATATTATAAATATATTATATTATATATTTATATTATATTATAAATATATTATAAATATATTATTTATTATAAATATTTATACATGTATATTTATTAAAATAATATAAATATATATTTATATTATTTTATACTATAAATATATCATAATTAGTATATATGTATCTATTAAAATTCAATGTCTGTTATTTTATTTGTAATTCACTTGCGAAAGGGTTCCCGAACACTTACTTGAACATTGTCTGAACCGCGACGATAGTGTTGCAGTCAGCCAGCGTGTCTTCCTCCGCGGAATTGCTAAGTTCCTTATTTACGACCACGACATTTTCCGCCAGAGTGATACCGGCGCGGAGGAGATCGTCCAAACAATCGATGGTACCTCGCATCCAGTACACCAAAGGAAAGTAAGACACCGCGTCGAGGAACGCAATCTCCGGCGGCCGTTCCAACAGAAGAATGATGGGATTCAACGAAGTTTTCGATCTAACAGAGACCATCGATTATTATCTCAACTTCTCGTTGTTCGACTCGACTTGTCACTTTGACGATAATAATCCAAAGAAAGGGAAACTCATTTCTAAAAAGAATTCCCACATTAACGTAAAAGTTCAACGACGTTCCGACAAACTTCTGTTTTTACACTCGTTCTGCAAATAAATTTTTATCCGTATTTTCCTCGCATTTAAACAAATTCAAAGTTTACTTCTAAACTTAGCTTTCAGCGATACTGAAATTAAAATATACTTCGAAGCAAATTGTTTAAACTGTTTAGAGCTTGAGAAGAATTCATATTGTTTTTTCTATAGTACCTAAAATGAGCCCTTAGGGGAATTATGAAATTATAGATCCCATTGCTGGCGTAATCAGCTGCCAAAATTATAGTCTTATTCTGCCAGTTGTACTCTTTGGCATTTCTGTAGCTACAATGTTGGCACACCTGACAATCAAGAACATTTCCAATTATAATTCAGCAATAACAACAAGTTCGTTGGTATATTCATTTTGTAAGTATTCACCTGGGCGAGCTGAAGACAACAGAGCGGTTTCTTTTCTTTCAGCAGATAACATAACGTTGGCGATACCCCAATGAAGGGTGAAACAGGTGGGAATCCCTTAACGATCCTACAACGAATATCGATATTCGATTAAATTGTTGTATAATTCATACACAAGCGTGCATTGCATCTGATTCTGTAAGCAGGTGTGAGCTTTCGAATGCATGAAAGAACATTTTATATCGTTTGCGCTCGAAATCTTTCTGTCACATTGAAATGAATAATGCTTGCTCCTCGATACTTACGATCCAGGGATTACTTATGTAATATATATCGTGAGAAATGTAAAATGTTTAACAATGTAATTTAATATTTTGACAATATACAATTGTTGAATGACAGCTAATCAATGTGAACGGGAATATTTAATATTTCTTTCAACAATAGTTGAACTATTCTCGGTAGAAATTATGCGAAAAGGCTGGAGCAGAGGGAACGTATTTTTATACGAGTTGTAGATCTCAGATGCAAAATGCGTTGCGTTCATTATACCGAATGCAGTGACGAACAGTGATGTTGTACTGTTCACGTGTACAAGGTGACAAGCATGTGCGAATACGTTGCGTATAATTTTTGAATAAAGTAAGAACAATCGTCGAGAGTGCTGAGATATTTCTGAAAGTTCATTCCCAAGATTCCTAAAAAAAAAAAAGAAGAAGAAGAAAACAACTCATTCGTTTTCTTAGGTATTAAATTATTTCAATCGACATTTATTCTCAGACAAGATTTCACATGCACAATTTTTCATCACTCTGCTATCATTTGTCACATTCATTTCACGCAAAATCGTTCCGATTTATTTTTCGATAAAATATACAGATAAATAAAACAGTTTGTAGATTTTAATTTCAATTTAATTCTTAAATTTAATTTTAATTTTCCACTTCGAATTATGAATAATAATAAATTGCAGATAAATGTTGTATGATTATATTTCAACTATCGTCCATCCTTTCAGATTTGAACGAATAAATCTGTACGTGTTCAACATTGTACAGAATAGATTCCAAATACATCGAGTAAAAATAAATTGACAGTATTATCGCTAAGAAAAAAAAGAAATTCTCAAAATAAATATAATCAATCGTATTGAAACAGTCACGTGAAAATAATATGTTTTAATATGTCTAAAACTAAAATTTGAAGATTTGCATAATTTTCATATTTGCAATCTCTATTTGGATTTACAGTGTAGGGTCCTTTTAATAACATTTATGCTTTCACTGCAACTAAAGTGATACATGAACATAGGAAATTATGAATGTGAAATGAAATGCCTGCGATAAGCACAGAGTTTTCGAAGTTTAAATGAGAAATAGGTTTGATATTTTCGTGTTGCTTGTTTCCATAAGAATATCATTTATTCTGGCCAATGAAACTTCAAAGAATAGAGTGTAACAATTTCGTTACACGTTTCCGACAGCGTTTCTTTTTTTTTTTTTTCTCTTCAATTTTACCACGTTTTGCGGCAATTTTACACATCGTAAAAAAGATTTCCCTCAATATTTTTTGACAAAAAATTCCTGTATATTTCGGAGAAACTCACGCAAACTTTTTCAAAAATATTCATGTTGGTAGACAATTTTTCCTCTCGTTGCAAAAGTTCACATATTTTAAAGAAATTAAACATCTGTTGACACGAAATTCTTGAGCAACTACTTACTTTCGGAGAAAACAGTTTGTTTTATGAAAATTCTTCCAAAAAGAATAAACATTTGATCTCTATTTGCAGAAAACATTTACGTCGAAAGATCATCATTCCTTTCATGCATCTCGCTGAAGAAAACATTTTCTTTGGGAAATTCCCACATTTCAAAAGAATTGAATACCTCTGCTTGTTTTGTAATTTTCTTGGAGCACAGTTTGCGAAAGGTTTTGTCGGAAAATCAACTGCAACGATAGTAAACATTTGTTCCACGTAAAGAGAATAAATATTTCATCCGCGTTCTATTCGTGCACGAATATTTACGTCGAAAGAGAATTTCCATGTTCGTAAAAATTTCCATTCGATGAAAATTCTTACATCACCACGAGGTTCACTTCATTTTCTTCTTTCTAATTGTAAACAATTATTCTTTCTTCCCGACAACGTCTAAGACAACTCGTGCAATCAAATTCCTGCGAATTTCGAAGAAACCCGCCCGAGGCGGCGTGAATCATAGTTACGTAAGGGAACAAATTTACTGGCTTGCTGCGCGAATACCTAGAAAATACCGATTCAATCCAAACGCGAGATGGAAAGTTCACCGTCGTCCGCGTTCAACGTTTTCGTAACTTTGCTCGCCTCCGTGTGTTTCGTATCGGAGCGACTTCAATTTCGTAGCTCAATTTCGTCCCGCAGACTCGCGAACGACTCCGAGCCAGAAACCGAATTAAACGACGAGGATTTTCAGTCTGCGATGCAGATGATTAAACTACGCTCGAGATCAGTTAATGAATCCCGAGGCGTATCTATTTATCCAACTTTCTTCGCGGTCGCGCTGGAAATGTATGCATGCTGCGGAAAATCAATCTCTTTTTCCTCTCTGTATATCGTCGGACTAACTGCAGCTGAATAGATATTTCACGTAATATCGTAGAAGTATGTTTTGTTCATTATCTGGCAGGCAACGAGCGCGGGAACGTTCGGAATTGTATGATGGAGATTTTGAAAAACGCGGGACGAAATGAAGGTTTGTTCTAGGTTTGTTGTTAAATTTCGCGCAATTCCCAATTGCAAGAATTTTCGAACTATCGAATGGAATGATTTTAAATCAACAATCTCCAATTTCTAGCTTTTAATCTAATCTAAATTTTCTCATTTTCCGATTTAAATTACCATTTCATCGCAAGGATTCCGTCCTCTTACGTATCTAGATTTAGAATTTGAAAAGTAAAATATAAACGTAAATTAATCACTTTTTTTATTTCTATTTTAATTTTAATTAAATTCTTCTTCTCCTAAGTTTGCAAATAAATTCTAGAAATTACAAATAATTTCCTCCCAAATCTAAATTTCGTCCACCAAATTCCCAACTGGAAAGTAATATTCAAAAACTTGTCTGTTGTCTCCGCATCAAACGAACTTTCAATCAGCCCTTTTGCAACTGGGAAGAGGAAGCTTGTCGAAAATTTAAAAATTCTAAAATCCCAAGTCTTCAAAGTTCGAAAGCTTGTCCCCAAGTCAAACTTCCAGCCAACTTCAATCGTCGTCTTGCAACCAGAAGAGAAGGAACTTATCGAAAATTCCGAAATGGCAAGTCCAAAGTTCCAAGACTTGCCCGTTGTCTTCATATCAAATTAACTTCAATCGTCGTCTTGCAATTAGAAACGACAGGCTCGTCTGATTTTCATTACTATTCCACGATTTTCGTTCTGAACGTTCCCCGGCAGCGTTCCACGACAAGCGAGAAACGGGTGGATGATGATTTATGAATACGAGAAGCGAGTAAAAACGTGAAACTCACCCTTTGAAACTGCTGGAACAAAGGTCGTGCGTGAAGACGGCAGTGCATAAAGACGATGCAGGAGGGAAGACATCGAAAACATCCATGGAGGACATATAGGGTGTCAGGCAGGACAGCATCGAGCAGCGATTCAATACCACCGACGGTCGATTAGTGTGGCACAGGCATCGAGAGACATTCAGACAGGACAGACCGACCATCAACGTAAACTTGCATTTAATTGTATTTCAGGAGTGGTGAATGACAGGCCTCACGTGACACTGACCTCTTCGCGAAGCTTTTCGAAGCATTTACCCTTTTTTTCTCTCTCGGTCAAACGATATTTCTTTTTCTTTCTCTCTCTCTCTATCTCTATCTATCTATCTATCTATCTATCTCGCCCCCTGTTCGTCTCTTGTCACCGCGCGTGACAAGTCCGAAACTTTTCAAATCGCCCGACGTTACTCGCTTCGAGATGGAAATTTCGTCGTCGGTTCGGCGACAAAAAAAAGAATTTCCTCGACTCGACCGGCGTTTCGAATTTTCGTTGCTTTCGCGCTTCCGTTTCGAATGGGAAACTTTTTATTTCGCGAGTGTATTTTTTTTTTCTTTTCTTTTCTTTTTCGTTTTGCGAACGGACGCGACGGGCGGTAAATATACCGGATGCACGGAGAGAAAATATGGAGGGTGTTTCTTTTCCTTTCTTTTCTTTTCTTTCCTCTTTTTTTTTTTGGAAACGAAGATCAGAGAGGAAGAATGCGAATTCAATCGTCGATCGATTTGTCTTCGCATGTTAATACCGAAACTATCCAGTGAAGTTCGAAACTCGTCAAATGAAATTGTGTTTATGACACAAGATTTTGGAAAGTAAATCATCAAATCTCGACGAGAAATTACGAGTTGCTCGTCTTGATCATTCTTGTAGTTTTGGTGCTAAATGTTGCTTGAAATACTGTATATCAACGTGACGTTATAACTTAGGGTTAAAATTCTTCTGTTTAATTGTATTAAGTAACGTCGAAGTTAGAAAATCGATAGAAATGTATTCGTCGTGTTCTTCCCTTGTAATCTTCAAATATAATACTACGAAATCATGTGAGACAGGATTTGGCGAGGTCACGTTACGGTCGAATAGGCGATCGGCAGGAGGTAACATTTAGGGGTGCAGAAACAATATGAGCATGGTGCATAGTTTCTGCAGCGTAGCTAACCTAATTCTCTTTTTCATGGACAGAGATAAGATAGTACAGATCGTCGTTTATTTAATTAACTTTTAGCTGCAGATTTTGTGAGAGACGTTTAACCTTTAGATCTTTAACTCTGATTGATTCCGACATTTGAAAATGTCTTTGAGTGCGAAAATGATGTGAATAAAAGTAAAATATATTAATTCAATCGTGTACATTAATGAACAAAATTACTAATACGATGTTGTATTTATTGTGTATATTTATATTAGTGTGTCAATTTATATTGCGACTGAGTAATTTGACAGACAACTATCACATCGACGATATATGGTAAAAAAAAAAAAAATACATAGTCTATGTTTGTTAAAAGTTAAACTCGATTCACAAGATCTGCAAAATGAATGTTCCACTCGACTGCACGATCTTATAGAATATTCTTCATACATTCCCAAGAAAATACTGGCAATTTCCTGACGCTCTATATCTAACACTAAACAGTGATCTAAATAATTTAAATGATGCAAGATCTAATGACCAGTATCTCCTAATATCGAGAGATATCATGTACAATATTCAGAATAGTAAAAACAATGACAAACAAGATACATTCATCCGATATATATATATAGAATTAAATATATAATGTATATATATATATATATATGAGTAAAAAAAATTTATACACAAAATACGTCCGACGCACAAGAGACTGTGCCATGCAAGTGCACGAGACAGTGCAAGATCGTTTCACTCGTAAAGGGTTTCACGATCGTGCTTCAGTACATAGATTGAAAAAAAAAAAAAAAGAAAAAGAAAAACAGATCAATAAAAGAGAGGAAACCAGCTTTCTCGTCTATCTAGTAAATATATGTCTATTGATTTATGTGGCCGGCGCTAATCGTCGGTCGTCACGTTTCCTCGCGTTTGTAATTAGGGAACTCTGTACCTTCGATCCTTGTGACCTTCGACGTAAGAAGGATGAAATGAATGGTAACGGAGAGTCGATTATACTCACGCTATTTTCTCGCTGGGCGATCTCCAGGGTACGTCGTCGTCCATTTCGTCCTCAGACTCGTCACCTTCGTGATCTAATGACTCCTGACCGGGAAGATGCAACGTCGAGCTAGTTAACATGTCCGGGACTGGCAAAATACTTGGTCTTCTGCTTCCTGCACAACGATTTCAGGCAACGATTTCGTTGGAATTTGCGTTGAATTTTCGTGAGATGGCAGATATTCTCTATACCGCGTTTAAGATTTGCGTGTAAATTCACATATTTTTTTTTTATCGAAACGTTTGTACCACGAAATGGAACGCGAGTGGAAAAGTGAAATGAGAAGTTACTTTACATTTATCGATGTTTAAATTCACTGAAGCAACTTTAAATTTATTGAGTTATTACAAAGGTGGCAAAAACTGCTCTTTTGTATCTGAAAATATTGATTTGTATTACTTGCGCGTTTTTTCCAAATAAATTTATACGTGTTAATAGTTTGAACTTATTATTATTATATATATTATTATATATATTATTATTATAAGTTTGAATTTATTATTATTATATATTGTTTCTTGTCTACTTCTTTTGTATCTGAAAATATTGATTTGTATTACTTGCGCGTTTTTTCCAAATAAATTTATACGTGTTAATAGTTTGAACTTATTATTATTATATATATTATTATATATATTATTATTATAAGTTTGAATTTATTATTATTATATATTGTTTCTTGTCTACTTCTTTTGTATCTGAAAATATTGATTTGTATTACTTGCGCGTTTTTTCCAAATAAATTTATACGTGTTAATAGTTTGAACTTATTATTATTATATATATTATTATATATATTATTATTATAAGTTTGAATTTATTATTATTATATATTGTTTCTTGTCTACTTTTTTCACGGAGGGGACAAAAACTGAAAGATTCCTCCTTTGCATCCGCAACGGTTGACTCGTACTACTTGTACATTCTCGCGCTCGTCTTCCCCACGTGAATTTATTCGTGTTAACGAAATCTAACGAAGACTATTGAATCGAATTGTTAATTTACCTCTTCTTTGTGTAAGAATTTCGGGACTGAGCAGATTGGGATTCGGATCTAGGGATCTCGGTACGTCCAAATGATTTCCGGTTATCGGTGTCTGCGGCGTAGATCCCCCGTCTTTCAGACATTGTCGCGAGTCGCCGAATCCCCCAGGATCTAGATAGGTTGCTATAAAATTAGAGATCCGTTATTAAAAATCATTTACAGCTGCCCCCTGAAAGTATGAAGAAAGTTCATAATTATAGTTGAAACGTAGAAATGTAGTAGGAATTTCATCACGACTAAAAAAGAGAGAAGTGACTGATAGAAAGCTTTCATTCTTTCAAGCATCTTACGAAGAGGTACTGATTTTTACGTGAATTAAAGAATTTTTCTACAGGCTACACAGTTTCAATATTTTACACTCTTTTTGTACATTTTTCTCTCCTGTTACCAATTAATCACGATACGTCTTTTTTTAGTATTCTTTTTTCTTTCTTCTCAATATCTACGAAATGTTTGATTCCATAGAAACTGTTGAAAGGTGAATTGAATTTTATATCTTTAGTTAACGATTTAACAGCAATTAATAATGCAAAGTGAGAGCTGTTATTTTCTAATTTCGTGTATGTTCGCCGAATTCGCTTGCCAATGAATGTACTTAACACTGATAGGAGATCATTCGTTCGTATTTCAATCGCGCTGAGCTTCATTGTTCTTCGATACTGTTTATCATTTGATTTTGATATCCACCGCAGTTTGGAATAAACGAGTTACGTAAAACGTGTCAGTGTCGTTAACTAGAATCAAATTATACTCGAAGCAAAAGACCCTTAATACATAAATTTCAGTTCTAGACATGCGTATCTTACTATTATGTAACAACATGCACCTAGTCTAAATCACGGAGGGGAAAGAACATTTACATAATGCAAAAACGTTGCATTAAGTTACAAAGCCATGCTCCCAAGCTCGGATGTATATTTGTTCTCTTTATTAATCGTATAATTGAAAGAAAGATCAGTAGACAAGCAAACTGAATTAAAAATAATAACTGAATAAGTCTACCTTTTTTAAATAAACAGAATGTAATTTAGTAATCAATGCGATAAAACAGTTGTCTCTTATTTCGTACGTAGGTTTCGATCAGTCGCATGCAAATTGGTTGCACTACTACCAGGTATTCGTTGATTAATGGAAGAGTTTAGCACCAACTAAATTAACACATTGAACTTTTATGCAGTATAAACTCATAACATTTGCGTTCAACACATTATTCATTTAGTACGTATATGTTCAATCTTACATTAGCGTACGTCGTTCGATCTGTCGAAACTTTTACAACACATCTTTTCACGAATGACACAAAGATAATAGTCAGTATTACCGGTTACTCTAACTACGCAAGTACAAACGACCGGGTCTCTCTTTCTCCAAAAAAATACCCACTGTAAAACACACTTGAGGAGAGCACATATATCTTACCGACGAAAAGTTTGAAAGTATTGGTTCATAGTTTAATGAAATTGTGTTAAATTCGGACTCGAGTTTCGTTAGATTTCCATTATTATTGTAAATTATTCTTGATAATCTTTTCTTCTTAATTTTTCGAAGCTTCTTATTGTCGTAATTTCGACAATTTATTACAGAGTTTATACTTTCTGTAATAAATTTCTTTTCCTCTAAATACATCTATTTTCCTGCTCAAATAAACAGAGAGATAGCGAGAAAGAAAATTAAAATCCACTGTATCATTCCTCGTTAATTCGATTTCAACATTCAGATAAGAGATAAATTAAAAGTTGCTATTTCATCAATGGCACTTTTCACATCTTTAACACATTCTCTAACATAACTTTCTAAACCAAGGACGATTCGAGTTAATATTCGTCGCTGGAAATTACGCTAGAGTTCGCTTGCGTTATACTTTGGACGATCACCGACAGATTGTTAACACAACAAAAATTCCCCGACTTTGTACTTTCAAACTTTCTTCCGATATTTAGCCTACGCTCAAAAATCTCAAAATTTGCCACAAAAAAAAAAAAAAAAAATTGCCCACCGACGTGTTATTAAAAAACAAGAAAGAAAATGAGAAAAGGGTACAGCCATACAGTCGTATCGCCAAAAATCAGAGGTAAACAGTCGAAAGGAATAACAACCGATAGAGATATGTATATATGTATATATGAGGAACCAATATGAAAAAAGAGAGAGAGAGAGAGAGAGCGAAGAATAAAGAAAAGAAGAGATAAGGGCAAGCGCATGCGACACTCACGGTGGACATCGGATGCGAGTATGTTGTGGTGTTCGAGTGGTGTAGGCGTGCTAGGGAGGACCTGCAATATAACCTGTGGGGCCCTGTGTGCCTGTGTACCGTGTTGTACGTTCTGTCCACGGGGCCCCGTGCAGGTCGTCTCCTGCCTGCAGCAAGCTGTTTCGTTCAGCGCATTGTTACAACTGTTGGAATACGGACGGTGCTCGTTGGCACCGGGCTTGTTTGCAGTACCGTTCCCATCACCACCGGCGATCGTGCAGCTGGTCGAGATGGTGGTTGTGGTGGTGGTGGTGCCAGCCATCGTGCCGGAGTTCATCGTGGTGGTGGTGTTGTTGGTGGTGGTGTTGCTGGTCGAGTTGCTGTTACCGGTGCCGTCGGTCTTCGTCTCGACCACCACCTGCGTGCCGCCCTCCGCCCCGGTACCCGTTTGGTTGTTCGCCACCACGAACGCCGAGTTCTCCTCCTTCGTGATGCTCATGTAGTAACAGGTGTCCGTCTTCTTCATTATGTGACGCGGACCTTTCGTTCGTCGGAAGCGGAATTAGGACACATTTTTTTTCCTCGTTTCTCTTTTTAACCACAGTCTGATAGGTTTTCTCTTGCTACGTTTGAACTTTTGACGAAAACACTTAGATTCCACAGGAATGTTTAATGAATATGATATCTTTATGAATATGATATCTTTAATGAATAAATTTAGTAGCTTCCATACGAAAACATTTAGATTCCACAGGGATCTATATGTTTAATGAATATGATAT